GCCAGAGCAGCCTCTGTTCTTTCCTCCTGGGTGTTTCTCCCCTCTCCCAGCCTTCATCCTCTGTGCTGACCTCGGGGCCTGACCTCTGACCTCTGGGCCTGACCTCTGGCCTCCACAGCCCTCTCCTGGGTCAGGGAGGGCTAACTTGCTAGAGTGGACCAGGCCACCCTGGAGAAAAAGGCTGTTTGCTGAGGTCTCTCATGCAGTATGATTAAGATGTGGAAAGATGCAAATTGAGGCAATCCTGCTGTTTCAGAAGAACTTAATATGTTTTTTAAAAAGATAGGGTGAAAAGGCAGAAATTGCAGGAAATCGTATATTGCAGGAGCTGCTTTATCTTCTCTGCAGTTGATTTCAGAGAGTCTTCTGGTTTGGGAACAGCATTTCATAAGCTCAGAGAGCCCCTCCCTCAGGGTGAGGCTGCCTGCTTCCCAATCCTGGCCCAGGCCGTCTTACTGCCCCTTCCTCAGTCTCTTCCTGGGCTCACACATGTATCGAGGGTTGATCCACTCACTAACCTTCATTTAAGGGGAGCAGCGGAAGCCTTGTTCTCATGACTGTGGGCATAAGTCAGAGCCACCTTCAAAAGCATGGTCCCCAGCCAACTAACCCGGTCCTAGACTCAAGGACTCCCCATGGGGGGTGCACACCCATTGAGGGGAAGCCTGCCTACTTTACACCCTAGAAATCTCTCTAGAGGCCTGTTTTATCCCCATGGATTTGGCAATAGCACAACAATACTGATTATTATAATGGGCTTTGGGTGAATGTTCTGGGTCTAAATTGTGTTAGGGAGGGCAGATCTGACTGGGCAACAAAATAAGCCCCCAGCAACGCCCCTCAGATTTGCGGTCACCCAGGAAATGATGCAGTGTTGCTCACTGGTGGGTTTTTCCAGTTAGCTGAGTTTCAGAGCCTGCCTGCATTCCTTCCTTCCTTCCTGTCTTCCTTCCTTCCTTCCTTCCTTGCTTCCTCCCTCCTTTCCTTCTTTCCTTTTAATTTTAACTTGTTTGCATGGAGGAAGCCTCTCTAAAATGGATTTCACACTTCTATGACTTCTCAAGCTGAGACTACAGAACATAAATTTATCTTGATGATTCGGGGCCTATTATTTGAAATCTGTTATTAATCTCTGGAGCCAGGCCTCCTCATTCCAATCCCAGCTTCTCTTCTTCCTTGCTGTGCGGCTTCAGGCCAGGGCGTTAACCTTCCTGTGCCTCAGTTTCCTCATCTTTGAAATGAGAATAATAATTATACCTACTTTGTGGGGTTGTTGGGAGGATGAAGTAAACTAATGCATATAAAAATAGTGCCTGTCACGTCAGAGGTAGAACCATACCACATTGGCATTTTCATAGGTGGATGATATTGAACATTGGCAATTGCACATGGGTGAGCCCAGTGGAAGACGACACTCTGCACGTGTGGCTCCTGCTCTTATAGATGCTCGCTGATAGGCACTGTGGACTGGACCCTAGCTAAGCCCTCTCCTTCAGTCTTTCCGACAGGCTCACAGGGGCACCTTTACTCCATTGATCAGAGGAGAACATGAAGACTTAGGCTAAGTTGCTTGCTCAGGGCCACTCAGTGGTAGGTGGCAGAGGCGGGGTTCCATGCAGGGGGCCTTGGTCCCGTTGTGCTATTCTCGGGTGCTGTGCTGGGGCAGTGGCCCTCCCGGGGAGTGCTGAGCAGACCTGGAAGCGTGTCTACTAAGTCCTGCCTTCATTTTTCTTTAATATTCCTGCTCCCCATCCGGACCTTGCGGGGGGCCCTGAGGGTTCTCCCAGGAAGCAAAAATAAAAGGTTTTGCCCCTGGACTTTGTGCCCTCTGTTTCGTTTGTGTCAAATATGTGTATTTATTTTATAGTGCAGGTTGTCGTGTGTGGTTCACCTATGTTCATTCAAATGCAGGTGTCACACAGGTGACCTCCAGATGTGTGGGGTGTCATCTGATGACACAGCAGAGCCATGTCCTGGGGAGGCTGGAAGAGCCCTAGATTCCCGGGCTGTCCCCTGAGTACCAGCCTTCCCCTGACGCCGCCCTGTCCCAGTGTGCTCCCCATGGCGTTGGCACTGAAGCCTAAACTTCCCGGCTTAAAAGGACAGTGGCGGACATCCTGTTCAATATGTCACTTTACAGAGGAGGAAACTGAGGCTCAGTGAGCTGGAGGGACTACTGGGACTCCCTAGGACCCAGAACCCTGGCTCCCTGCTCGGACTGCCCCCAACGCTCTCCTCAGCAGAGTTCCCTCGTCTCCCAGTGTCTTCTGACGCTACTGCCTGCCGGGTGCCTCCGTGGGGAGGAGCCAGGGCCGGCCTCAGAGACATGTGACCTGTGCAGTCACACAGGGTCCATGCTTGGTTTGATGCTCTGCTCTCACTGTCTTGAAATTTCTTAATACTTTTTGAACAGTGGACCCCACAATTTATATAGCCAGCGCTGGGAGGAGCCCACCAGGTCCTAGGATTCCTCCTTTTTCTAGGCTGTGCGGTGGAGCTCCCCAGGAGGCATATAACATGCTCCCTCCACCCAGCCTGGGATGGGATTGGAACTCTCTCCTGGGGGAGACAGTGGCTGCCAGGGATGGACTGAGAAAGCGAAAGATCTCCCTGGGAGGGTGAGAGGGAAGTCCTGAAGTTTGCCTGCCTGGGTTACCCACTGTGTGACCTTGGGTATTTGACAACCTCTAAAAGCCCGAGTTTCCTCATCTGTAAAAGGAGAAGAGTAGAAGAGTAACTTCGTACAGTTGTTATGAGGACTTAATGAATGAAGTATATAAATCATGTACCCGCAGTACTCTGCACTAGCAAGCGCTCAGTAAGTCAGCCATTCTCTTATTGCAGGTACAAAGTCCTAGATTTCTTGGGAGGCTCTAGGATTCCTTGGGCTTCCAGGCCTTGGAAGCCCCAGTCAAGCCGCCCCCTCCCTCTCAGGTGGGTGCTGATGAGGGACAGGCATGTACTGGCCCCTGGCCCCAGCACTGCCCTTCCCAGAGCCTCCCTTCGGGGGCACTTTTGCCCAGGTCACCGAAAACCCAGCCCCTCCCTGCCCAGACACACCCAGAGTCCAAGGGAAGCTGGGAAGCGGCCTCGGGAACTGGGGTGCGCTCCCTCTCAGGGAGGCAAGGGCATGCTTGAGGAGGCAGGACTTCACAATCAGTCCATACACGTTGAATTTCTGCTCTACCTGTTGCCAGCTGGTGATCTTGGGCAGGTTACTCAGCTTCTCTGACCTCCAGCTTCCTCATTTGTAAAAAGTGACAAAAAATTATTTTGAGGGCTAAATATGATAAGGCTGTAAATCACTGAGCTCGGGGACTGGCCCACATCAATAGTATCTAATAAATGTTTGTTGAGTGAATGAATGAGTGAGTAAATGGAGGGGGGCCCTGTGTTTGCTATTGTCAGATGTCCTTGAAGGAAGGTGTGAGAGGTGGTAGAAGTGGAGGTGAGGCAGGGACAGAGGCCGTACACACTGTGTTGGGGACGGGGGTGAAGTGTTCAAATAATCATAACCGCTTGCAGGCACGCAGCACTTAGTGTGCTCCGTACACTGTTCTCATTCACTCATTTCATCCTCACAACAAGCATATGAAGTCGGCACTGCCACTACCCCCATTTTACAGATGAAGAAAGTGAGCACAGAAGGAGTGAGTAACTTGCCTTAGGTGGCACAGCCAGGAAGGGATGGGGTTGAAGCCTGCAGCCTGGCTTCAGCAACCATATCCTTAACCTTTATAGCGCACCCACCCCGCAACCTTTGACCATAACCTTCAAGCTTGCGGGAGACTGCATCTTCATCTCTGCCACAAATTTGGTCCTCACTGGGTGGTAGGACACTGCTTTCAAGAGACCCTCCTTTTCACTGAGAGGAGGGGACAGCATGAGAAAGTTGGGTGGCTTCCTCACAGGCCCTGGCCCTTGAGGGCAGGCCAGACCCCGGGGACTGTAGGACAGAGCCCTGAGCTCTGGCTAGTTGGCAGGTGATTTGTCAGGATGCAAAGCTTTCAGGTTGAAGAGGCCACATGGGGATGGGTGGGGAGGAGGTCGTCAGGGCGTCTCTGCCTAGTGCCCTGTTGGCCACAGCGATCTAAGGGTCTGGGTGCCGTGTGAGGGGGTGGGGGGTCCAGCGGTCCTCACCAGGGCCCGAGTACTTTCTGTACTCTTAGTCTGGGTGTCGGGTCAGACAGGGCTACAAACTCGCCTGGGGAGTCAGAAACCCAGGGCTCTGCTTGGGGACTTGGGGGGCCCCCTCCCTGCTCTGAGCCTCAGGCTCCTCAGCTGTGGATGGGCCGTGACCCTGGCCATGTCTACCTTGGAGTGTTAGTTGGGTGGGCTTCTCATGGGTTAGTGGGTGTGAAAGTAAAGCCAAAACTTCCATGTCCTCTAGAAGTCACACATCTGTGAGGGGGTGAGGCAACTGGACAGAGCGCAGGCTTTGGAGTTGGCAGGCCAGGCTCAGAATGGCCTGGGGATAGCCGGTCCCTTCTTGGAGCCGCTCAGTAAAATACTAGTGAAATCGTGCAGGTTACACTGCCCGCGGGGGTGCGACTCCCTGTCCTCTGCTAAGCACTTCGCACAGTTGATCTCATTAGTCTTCATAACAGCCCTTTGAGGTGTGTGGTGTGACTGGCCTTGTGTGACAGTGGGGAAACTGAGGCCCCAAGAGGTTACCTCCCCTGCCCAAGGTCACACAGCTAGAAAGTGACAGAATCAGGATTCAAACTGGGCAGCTTGCTCCAAAATCTACCTGCTTCACCACAGACTGCTCCGTTAGACCCGACGGTGGGGTCATTTGAAGATGAGGTGAGACCCTTGGAAGTGTTAGCCCAGGGCCTGGCCCTTGGTCCATGCAGGGCACACATAAGATGCTGCCCTTTCTGACCAGCTGGTGCCCAGAATCCTCATGTTTCCGGGGCCTGAAGCTGCATTTCCACAGGGACTGGGGCACCGTCCAGCCTTCTCCGGCCTCATACCTCTGCTCTCCCCCCTCTCATCAGGATGTTGCCACGATGCAGTTCTGTGCCAACAAGCTGGACAAGAAAGATTTCTTTGGGAAGTCCGACCCGTTCCTGGTGTTCTACAGGAGCAATGAGGATGGAACGTGAGTTCCATGGCAACATGTCACCCCCTTCCCGGGGTCAGGGGTGCACAGGGTGTGGTGACCTGCCAGCAGGGTGGCTTGGATCCACCTCCTCCCTGTGCTGCCCTGGGCCTGTTGCTCTAGAGAGGGCAGGGGACCGGGCAGGGGATCAGGATGGAAGTCAGAGCTCCAGCGTGGTGTCCTGACCATGTGGGTGGGCCGGCGGGGGCTAGGGGCCGCCTCCCAGCCAGCAGTGCCACACTGAGGGTCTCAGCTACGGTGGGTGTTAGATATGTTAGAGGTGGGGGGAGTGGGTGGAAACAGGGCTAGGGCGGAAATAAGGGGCCCCTCTGATAGCCCCCTCCTTCTTCCACATGAATGAGTCCATATATCCAAGCCTAGTCCTCTTCCACCCAGAGCCCTCTGAACACCCCACTGCTTCATGCCCCCCACTGCTGCACCCCCAGCACGGCAAATCTGGACTCTTTCCCCACCCAACCCCACCCCTCACCACAGGCTTCATTCAAAACTCTACACGTCTTTGAAGCCCGTTTCCTTCTCTTTCTAACCTAGAAGCCACCCACAATATGACAAAAACACACACATTGGCAAATGTAGGTCAGCTATGTACACAGGGGGAAAGATTCTAGGTTGAGGGTCTTGGGGCCTTCCCCGCTACCCTGCTGTGAGGCCCACCCCCAGCCAAATTACACCCCTCTCTGGGCCTGTTTTCCCATCAGTAAAATGAACCAGCTGGATTAGGTGGTCTCCACGGCCTCCGTAATCGCCGCAGTTCTTGGAGGCTGAGACCACTTATGGCTGGGATTTTGCAGAAGCAGGGAGCAGTGGGACTAGGGAGGTTAATTAGAAAAACAGCTGCTGGGGAAGGGGAATGGGGAAGCAGGATTTAAAGAAGAAGAAAATGGGCCCACGGGGGAGACACAGGGAAGAATAACACAGGGAAGGCCAGAGAAAAGACGTGTGCAAAGCAAGAGTGCCCTGAGCAGAGGCAGAAAGTCCTCTGCCAAGTTCCCTTTGGTTCTGAAATTCTGGGCGCGCGCGCGCGCGTGTGTGTGTGTGTGTGTGTGTGTGTGTGTGTGTGTGTTGGGGGCAGGGGAGCGGCAGGGAGGAGGTGTGTTTCAGTTCCAGGAAAAACAGATTTTTAAATCTGAACGTACAAAACAAGGGGAATTAGGTATGATCATTTGCATAACAAAAGGATTCTTTGTCTCACCAAAGGACTCCTAGCAGAATTAATTCTTTAAATAATTCTCGTTGACTTGACTTGAGGGAGTGAGAAAAAGGCCTGAGTGGTGTTCCAGGTGCCCACAGCAGTGTCCACGCAGGTTCCCCCAAGAGATGCAATGCCAGGCCACGCTGAGCTGTCTCAGAAGTGGGGGCTGGCTGACCAGGAGGAGGGAGGGATTTCGATTTTGGAGCAGGAAAGGTGTGTATTGCAAAAAGTGTTTGCCAATGATGTAAAAGAATGATGTGTAGGATGGATGAGGAGGGGGCGGAGAAGAGGGAGAGGCTCATGACTGACACTGTGAACAGGTGGGAGGTGCGGTGGAAGTGCAGGGGAGGAGAGAGGGGGGAGGACGGGGGCAAAAGGACAGTACGGAGACCCTTGGATGGGGCCTGAAGTCGCAGCCCCCTCCCTGGCAGCAGAGCTGTGGGGAACTGGAGGGTTGAAGATGGCAAAGGAGTTGGTCAGATGCGGGGAGGCCACAGGAGTGTATTGGGGCGCAAGTTTCACCTGATGCAGGGGCTGGATGTCTCCCTGGGGACCCCCAGGGCAGCGGAGAAACCCATCCAGGAGCCCCCTGAGAGGCTGGCCAGTCTGCAGGCCCCCGCGAAGAGGCAGGTGCACAGGTCAGAGGCTGGACTGGTGAGAGCAGGGCAGTCACCCAGGGTTTGAGGAGAGGAGAGCAGAAGGTTTGGGAGTCCCCCCCAGTTAGGAGGATGGGAGGAGTGTCCGTGAGGGAGCCAGGGGAGTATACCGTCACGCCTGCCCCACCGGGAGGGACAGGGAAGGTGGCGTCCACAGAGCACCCTCTGTGCCCCTGGCGCTGTGCCTACCATGTCTTATTCAAGCCAGTCACTCTCTGGGAGTAAGAATGTGACGAGGAGAGCGGGGCTCCGCCGGGCTGCCAGTGGGCCCAGCCTAGTGCTGCCAATTATCAACTGCGTAACTTCAGGCAAGTCTCTAATCCAGTGGAACTTTCTGGGATGAAGGCAATGTTCTACGTCTCGCTGTCCAGGGTGGTCGCCATTAGGCACATGTAGCTGCTGAGCAGTTGAATGGACTAGTGTAACTGAGGAACTAAGTTTTAAATTTCATTTTATTTTAGTTCATTCAAATATAAGTAGTCACATGTAGCTGGTGGCTACCATTCTGGAGAGTGCAGCTATAACCTCTGCAACTCAGTTTGTTGGTGTGTGTACAGGGCTGACCCTAAACTGGACTCGCAGGGTTGCTGTGAAGATTAATTGATTAATACGTGTAGTTAGAACAGAGCCGGCAGCTCCCGTTCTTATCCTCATTTTACAATGAGAGGGGAGCTCAGAGAGAGGGCGCCGTTTGCCGAGGCTGCACAGTTGGTGGGAGCGGCCCTGCGACTGGAGCCCACGTCTGTCGGACTCCGTCCATCTCTAGCGCTGTCCTCTGCCGTCCCCTGAGTGCCTGGCAGAATGAACTGAGCTGAGTGGCAAGATGACTGCAGGGACAGCAGAGAGTTGAGGGTCCTGTGGATTTGGTGCGGGGAGGGAGCTTAAAGAAAGGGTTTCAGGCAAGTCTCTGAAGCAGAAACCAGACTGCACAGGGCTCAGGAGAAACAAGTAAGAGGAAATAGGGCTAACAGCTAAGAAGGCCTGGCCAGGAAGTCTGGCAAAGGAGAGGAGACAGGGGAGGCAGCGGTTCCAAAGGGATGGGGAGGCCAGAGGGTCCCCCCAGGTCCATGTGACTGTTGGGGGTGGTTTAGGGCAGTTAGAGCTTCTGCGCAGAGGGTGATCCTCCCTCCCTGAGTGGCCCGCTTTGCTCCCGATCCTCCCTCCTGCCACCCTGCCTTCTCTTCCTGCTACCTGCATGCCCTAGCCATGGGCAGCTGCGGCCCCTTCCTCCTCTGTCCCACTCCTGTTGTCATGAGCAGCTCTGGGTGTGTGGGGAGATCTCCCACGTGTATCTCTACACTCCAGTGGGTGGTTGAGAAGGAGCAGAGAAGAGAAATGCTGAGCCTCAGTGACAGAAATGACATTTTGACTTGAAAATTGCCAGAGAAGAAATGGCACATCCTGTGTGGGCATGGGTGGAGCTCAGGCGCCTTCCTGGGTGCCCTTTTCAAGCCGGTAGATGCTAGGAAATCTCAGGAGGGTGGCCCCTGGTCCATTTTGGCTCCCGGCTGCCCCCCTTGTGGCAGGGCAGGCTTCCGGGATGGGGCCAGCCAGGCATGGCGTGGGGAGTGGGCAGGGGACACCGCGCTGGGGATAGCCAATTCTGCACTTTTCGTGTGCAAAGCAAGCTCAAGGATTCAGAGCTGAAAGGGTCTTAGAGATCATCCCAGACAGGGGCTTTTATTCTCTGGCTTGAAATGCTAGAGAAAGCTATGGAAAGTCTCTTCTGAGAAATACGTTTATTTATTAATTCCTTCCCCAAAATACTTAATGAACATTTACTATGTGCCAGGCACTGTTTTGGGCACTAGAGATATACCAGTGATCAAAGAAGGCACAGCCCTTGCTTGCCCTTCCTGAGCTTCCATTTTAGTGACAGACCATAAAATAAATGAGAAAATTAGACGATGTCAAATGTCAAATGGTGACAGGTGAAATGGAAAAGAGTATGGAAAGGAACTACGGATGTCGGAGTCAGGGGCCCAGGGGATTGTAAGTTTTAGATATGGCGCTCACAGCAGATACTCATGTCAAAGAAATGACATTTGAGTAAAGGCCTGAAGGAGTGAGGTGAGCCATGGACAAGGAAATCTCGGGGCACAGGCAGGAAAACAGCAAGCATGTGAAGCCCAGACACCCAACTTCACTGACAATTGCAGAGGTTCACAGACCTCTAAAGCCCATCCACAGATCTTTCCATGGATGAAGAAGGTTTGACAGTGGCCACCTCCCTGGGTTTACAGGTGGGGAAACAGAAACCCAGAGTGGGACAGGCATGCTCACGGTCATGAGAGAGCAGGGCCTAGAACCTGCGCCCCCTGGCAACACTCCTCCCCGCCCCCCACAAGAATCCTCTCTGTAGCATCACCAGGAAATGGCCATCAAGTTTCTATCCAGATGCTGCTAGTGACAGGCAGCTCATTACCTCACAAAGCCATGGTTTTTCTGTCTAGTAACTGTAGAGATTAACCAGCTAGTCCCTCAGTTGACCTGGATTCTATTATGCCATCCTCGGGCTGGGGTCTGACACCTTCCCTCTCTTCTTTGCCAGGTTCACCATCTGCCACAAGACTGAGGTCATGAAGAACACCCTGAATCCAGTCTGGCAAACGTTCTCCATTCCTGTGAGAGCCCTCTGCAACGGGGACTATGATCGGTGAGCTGAGAAAATGCCCCTCACTGTGCAATATGAGCAGAGGCTCCTGGAGCTGTGCCCGGGTGGCCCTGCACAGGGTGTGACTCATGAACCTCCCCACCCTGTGTTCCGCTCCCTGGGCAGTGTCTGCCTTCATCTCCTCACAGCCCTCCCTCCTCTTCTCTCCCTCCCCCCACCCGCCTCTTTCTTCCAGTCAGGCATCCCCGTTGGTGGGAACCTCCCCAGGCTGGGGGCATTGGGGTGTCCTGGCCTGGAGCTCAGCAGCCTGTCTTTTCATTCTTCCCACTGAGGGTACAAGTGGGGGCCCGACGGGGCTCTAGATAGGGAGAGGAAGCCTGGTCCCCACCAGCCCCAGCCCTTGGCAGGTAGATTCTGGGGAGTCAGGATTCCAAGATCCCCCTCTCCCAGCCAAGTTGCCATATATGGGGATGAGGGTGGGACACAGAGCTCATGGAAGTTTTTGATGCTACGCAGACTACTCCTATTACATGTTAGCCCCCCACCACCACCACCACCACCACCACCATCATCATCATCATCATCATCGCATGAGTGCAGATCGTCGAGTGTGGATACACTTGGTTTCTAATTGGCTCTATGACTGAAAAGTGCTATCAATTTGGGCAAACTTTGACCCGTCTGGGCCTTGGTTTCCTTGTCTGTAAAATGAGTGTTTAAACATTTCCCTACCTTATAGGCTGCTTTGACCCACATGACATGACCTACACAGAACGGCTTAGGTGTGCATAAAATACCCAAGTCAGCATTCTGTCCACAAGTGTTTATTGACTCCCCCTGTGTGCTGTCCCCTGCACTAGAGGCTGGGAAGTCAGCAGGGAACAGAACACAGTCTTCACCCTTCACCCAGCCTCGTGGAGTTTACATCTAGCAGGGGAGGCAGACATTAATCCAATAATCACACAAAGAAACATGTAATTACAAATTGTGCTAAGTGGCAGGGGAGCTGTAAGGTGGTGCTGGTCTGTATTAAGTCATGAGAACCCAGCCTGGTTTCTGGGTGATGGCTGGAGCTGGAGGGCGAGCTGGCAGGGGTTCACGGCCAGGGCTGCCCAGGCAGCCTTGAGGAAGCTGAGCCTCTGCCAGCCATTTGAATAGGGACACTAGGACGTCCTGGCTGGAGGCATTGGTATGGGCTTGCTGGGACCCTGCTCACAGGGGCCACTGACAGGCTATGTGTGGTAGAGTGACAGGGTCTTCCAGGAACCCTGTCTCCTTGCGGATCCAGGAGATGAGGTGGCACATTTTCCTGCCTCTTGGTTAGGACAGAAAAGCCACAGTCTATTCCACAGGTGGTCACGGAGCACCTACTCTATGCTCGTCAAGCCTCCATCTGTGCAGCATTCAAGGGAATGTAGCCTCATTTCCATCTTCAGGGATCTTATAGTCTGACCACGGGAGCTCAGCTGTGCACAAAAGTATTTCAGACAGCAAAGTAATTGGGCAAAATGAGACTGGAGACAAAAGTAGGCGTTCTAGCGAACAAACCCCAGTTATATGTCTGGCCAAGTCCTGGGGCTTCCGGAGCGGAGGGAATGAGAGGACAGAGTGGTTGGAGCCCTGGGTCCACAGAAGGCCAGGGGAAGGCTGCAAGGGTGTCGGGGGAGGGATCAGTTCCTGGGGCTTAGGACAGGGAAGAATGGTTGGGATGGAGAGAGGGGGCAGGGGAGGGAGGGGAAATTCAAGCATGGCAATTGAAGTCTCATGGGGTGGAAGGAATTGGGATCTTCAGCCCCACTGCTCAGAGGTTTTGGGGGGTCCAACTGACCCCCCACTACTCTCTATCCTTAGGGAGGGGCTCCCAGGGTCTCAGGACCCAGCTCGTCATGGATGGTGAGGACCACTGGGTTCAGAGGCCAGGGCTCATTGTGCAGCTGTCGGAGGAGGTGAGGGTGTGGGGGAGGGGGCAGGTCCCGGGAAAACCGGCGGGCTCCCAGCCCCCGCTGCCAGGCCGAACCCCGGACTGCTGTCCCTCCAGGACGGCTGGGCAGCTCGGGCCCTTCCCCAGAGCCTGGGACAGCTCGACCACGACATGACTGACAGCAGTACTAATAGAGGGGCCCGAATGTCACTCCGGCTTGGTAAGAGCGGGCAGGCCGGCCGCGGGCTGAGCCCTAGTGTGACCCTATGGTCATCCACCGCGCACCCAACAGCCGGCAGCGTCAGGAAGGCCCTCTTAGTGCAGCGGTGGGGGGTCGGGGGAAGGCTTGTGCAGGAAAATGAGGGAGACTCCTCGTTAAAGCCTCACAGACCACACTTGGTTGAATCCAGCAGCCGTGTCTTCCATGTCGGCCAGGCCCAGAGCACCAGGCTGGGTGCTGCGGGCACACTGAGCCGTCAGACCCAAGCCTCCCCCTTAGGCTGCTTCCAGGCCACAGTGGGAAACAGGTAATAATAATAATAATAATAATAATAATAATAATAATGGCAAAGGCTCCTGTGGCACTTACATGGTACATTGTGTATATGAACCAATTTAAACCTCCCAACAGTCAGACACTAGCACTAAAAAGACACTAACACTATCTTCACTGTACAGGTAAGGAAACTGAGGCTGGCTCTAGAACCTGTGTTCTTGACCCCAGCGCTGTGCTGCCAGCCGGCCAGGACAGGGTGTGAGCGGGGTGTGCTTGGAAGCGGCTCTGTGAGAGCCTTGCCCATGGCACAGGGCAGGGCTGCCTTGGGAATGGAGGGGAAGGAAGACTCAAAGGGACCTGACATCTGCCTGGAGATGGGACTGAAAGAGACGGAGAGGTCATTAGGGTTTGGAGACCAGGGGACAAGAAAAGATGGTATCACTGACAGAAATGGGCTGTGTGACAGGGAGCTAGAGCAGGTGGCTGTGGGGCAGGCAGCGGTGCTCTGCTAGGGAGAGAGGACAGAGGTCTGGGAGTCCCCAGGAGGGGCTGGCACGGGTCAGGCCCTCGAGGCCCTTGGCGGGGGCGGGGGAAGGGGCGGGGGAGCGCCACAGGTCAGGAGCAAGAGAAGGAAGAGGGGATGGTCAGAGGACCAAGAGGAGGACAGCTGTGGTCAGGGAGCAGAGAGAGGGGAATCCACACAGAAAGACCCACCACCCCTGTGAGAAAGAGGACCAGGGGGCGAGAACCAAGGATCTGCTGAGAAGGGGCTGTTTTCTTGGAATAATGGGCATGGAAACCAGTTAATATTATTAAGATCACTGCGTCTTTAGGATACGGGGCAAATTGTCCTAGTTGGTTTCAGTATGTTTTCTTATGTGTGAATTAAATTTCACAGTGACCCTAGAAGGTGAGTGCTGGTGGCACGCCCATCGCACAGATGGGGAAGGGGAGGACCGCAGATGATGTGACTTGCCAGGACGAGGGGAAGGACCCTTCTCCTTTCCAGAAGCTGGCCCTGGGCTGGCCCTGTGCTTTAGGGATACGCCTGGGTTCGCTCTGTCTCCGGTCCACGTGAGTCCAAACTCAAGTGACCCCGCTGAGCAGAGCTGGAGCCAGAGGGAATGGCATCAGGGCCAGAGCCAGTCCAGCCCCCAGTGGGGTGAAGAGGGCTGACGACAAGACACCCACCCCCTGCCTTCCCTAAAGTCCGCCTAGTCTCTTCTTGACTATTCAATGACTTGAGGATTTATCCTCATTAAACCAGATTCCCCTGGTTGGGCTGCTGTCATTCACTCACAGCTTGTTGTTGAATGAGTGAATTTTAAGAGAGTTAAGGATGCTGGGTCCTCACCTGGAGAGGACAGAGGGTTCCTGGGAGCTGGAGACTGTCGCACCTCTGAAATGTCACATTTCTGTCTGTCCCCTGGAAGAACCACTACTTTGGCAGGTCAGTACGTGTGACCTCCATTGGGACTGCCTTACCGTCCCTGGCTCACACGTGCAGAAGCTGAACTCCCGCAGAGGAGCTGAAGTCCCTGCAGTGCAGCGCGGGTTGCGCCCCGCCCTCCCCCGACCCCCTCCCTGCCCCGCCCCCGCCATCCGGTCTAGCTGCCTGCCCCGGAGAGGCCGGCTCAGCTTCAGCCCTGAAGCCTCTGCGAAAGAGTGTTGGACGGATTGTCAGTTTGGGGCGAACCCCTCGGGGCCTGTCAGCGCTGGGGGCTTTGTAAGCTGCTGCGAAATGGGCGTCCTCCAGAGGGGAGAGGCTCATTAGGAGGCAGGCCTGCAGCCGGGGTCATGGCAGACCATCGACAGAGCTGCTTAGTGAGGTGGGAAGGAAGCCTGGTGTCCTTGCCAGTGCCCCTCATCCCTGCTGCCCTGCTGAAGCTCACATTCGCCCAGCTCCCTCACTCTGGCCCCAGGCATCCAGTGACCTACTGGACACTGGCTCCTGCCCCAAGGTCTGGCATTGCTACTGACCAGCTGTGTGACTTGGGGAAAGCTACACATTCTGGGCCTCCCTTTGTAGTTCTGGGGAGGGAAGGTATTGTTACTGTGTGGCCCACTTCACAAAGTTGATTGAAGTTTAGTCAGCCAGCAGATATTTCTTAATACTACTTACATTACCTCATATATTTAGGCACTCTTCTCAAAGCTGAAGATACAGCATTGAACAAAACAGGCAAAAATCCCTGGCCTTCTAGAGCTCATGTTTTCATGGTGAACAGGAATTGTTTGGGAGACAGGAGCTTGGAAGAAAGGCTTGAGTGTTTTAGATGGAACAGAACAACATTCATCCAATGCCGACTGCGTGGGTGATGTAGTTGACGTCTCACAGAAACTCCCACGTGGGTGTGCTGATTCCATTTTACAGGCATGTAAACTGAGTCTCCGAGGGCTAAGCCAGTTGCACAGGGCCAGACAGCTAGTAGCTGCAGTGCTGGGGTTGCTACCAGAGCCTGCAGCCTTCCCTGTCTACCCCACTGCCTCTTAGAGTAGGGGCTCTGTGTCCTGAGCCTTTTAACGCTAAATTAAATGTCCATTTTATGGGCAGCAGAGCCCATTTCATTGTCTCACTACCGGGAGCCCCTTCTCTTGGGAGCTGGCCCCAGAGGTCGCAGTAAATTCAACACGAGCCTTTGCTGGACCCATGCTTGGAACTGGGCTTGGCGCCGAGGCCTGCAGCCCACAAAGGGCATGTGAGGAGACTTGAGGCAGCCCAACCAGGACTGGACAGTGACAGGACTGTCAACTGAGTGGTCAAAGCTGTGTCTGGCTGGTGCCTGCCTCCCCCTGTCTCTGGGCAGTGTTCTTCTCACCTCCTTCTCCCCCAAGGCTGGAGTTTGCAGCCTCGGAAGGCTGCATGTGCCATCCCTGTGGCCTCGATCGCACAGGAATCTCACACCCAGTGGTCTCCGCCTCTGCTGCAGGCTCAAATCCCCTGAGGAGTTTTAGATAATTCCCCTGCCAGGTGCACACCAGACTCATTGATTCTAAATCTCTGGGGTGAGGCATCGGCATCAGGATTGCTAAAGCTCGCCAGGAGATTCCATGTGCAACCAAGGCTGAAAACCAGAGAGGTCGGCAGCTCTGGCTGAACATTAGAATCAGCCAAGGGACTTCTCAAACTACCTGTACCTGAGTCCTATCTAGACTAATTAAATCAGGCCCTCTGGCCATGGGATTACTTAAAAAAAACTCCCCAGTGATTTTGTTGGGGGGGGGTATCCGAGGCTGTGGCTGTATTTGGGTCCTCTTCCTCCTCCAGCATCTGAGCTTGTGGCTGTCACTGATCAGGTCACCTAAGTGGCTGGTGTGAGTGGTCCAAGGAGAGGCACCCCTTCCTGGAGCCCCTGAAGGCCCCCTGCAGGGCTGGAAGGCTCTGGCAATGACTGGGAGACTTTGTGGGGCAGCGTCCAGACTCAGGCCCTCACCAGCTATGTGACTCAGGACAAGTCACTGGGCTCCCGTAGAGCTCGGTTTCCCCACCTGGAAATGAGGGGGGCCACAGGTCATCGCTCCAGAACAGGCGTGGCAGAGCCACTGGGCCCTGCCCAGAGCTGCTGAGAACTGGGCCTGGGGCCTGTGTGTCTGCAAAGGTCCCTGGTGATCTCTCAGACAGCCAGGCTTGGATGCCACTAAGGTCACTTCCAGCCTTGTCATTCCAAGAATCAGAAATCACAGAGCTCAGGTACCTAGGCTTGGGTGTCCCTGATTTAAGTAAATTTTATATGAAAGACAATTCAAGTATGGCCAAATGCTAAAGTGGAGAGATGGGGGCATTTTTCTAGAGACCACTCACGTGCCAGGGGAGTTTCACTAACTTGTCTTTGCAGCTGTTCTGTAAAAACATTATTATCCCAACTCCAAAGTGCTGGCTTGTGGCTCATTGAGGTTGAGTGATACCTCCAGGTTCCCCAGCTAGGGGCCCAGGACCCAAGTCCACATCCCAGCCTCTTTCCAGCTCACCAGCCCACCTTCTGGGGTTTAGTTTGGTTTGTTTTTCCACAATAATTCACCACAGAGAGGCATTGTCTTTTGCTTTACCCAAGAATTTAAAGGATTCCTTTAAATGGTGGGCTTCTATGCCCTCCCTGTTTTGCATTTTAGTAACAAAAATCCAGTTGGTGCACAACCTACCAGGCATTCCTTCATTCCAGAGCAGTTTCTGCCCTGATGCAGGCAAATCCACACCCCGCCCCCACCCATGCACCGTGAAGGCTCATCCGAAGGGAGACAGCGCCTCCTTCTGGGGTTCCAGGACCCCAAGGCCAAGTCCTCGGAGACCCAGGAAGATGGGCCGCAGCTATGGATGGGCAAGATGATGAGATGTTAATGGAAAACAGGTCCAGGCAGCCGCCTCTGCGTGCCCCATTTAGAACTGGAGGCCGGAGGCCCTGGCTCCCCCACATGGTTCCTACCTCCCCAGACCCTGAGCCTGCAGTGGGGCCTCGGCAGCTCCCCCATCCCTGGGCATCCCTGGAGGACCACTGGCACCAAGAGTTAACCCGCAGCCTTCCACCTCCCTCCTCTGCCTCCGGGCCTCTGGTCGCTAGCTTGTTGCCAGGGAAACGGGCTAAAAATAAAATGGGTTCCCGGAGCCCAGCCCCATGCACAGGAGTCAAAACAAACTAATTAAAGCAGCCAGGCGAAAATGTGAAGATAATTACACCCTCACTCAGGAGCCAGTCGTGGCATGGAACAGCTCAGCAGGCCATCCCTGAGCGGGGGCCCCTGGGCCCATCCCTGACATGCAGGGCTGGCTCCCACCATTCAGACCCCAGAGTCCCGCCACGCAGTCTCGCAGTCTCGTTACCCCTCCCAGAAGAGCCCACCTCGCTTACGCCTGAGACCAGGGGAGAAGCACACCCCCACTATGATGGCCCCACCACTGATAAACTCAGTGTGGCTTCATGCTGGGACATGTGCCCCATCTGGCCGAGGAGAAGGCAGGGTGAACTGAAGTCTGAGGCTGTTTTTCCACATCCTCCCTGAAATTCGGGAAAGTCCCTGCACAGCTCTGGGGCTGCGTCTCTCCGTAATACCTTTGCTAAAGGACCCCAAGATAGTTCCTTTGTCTCTTGGGCTGCTGCCTCCACTGAGAGCCCAGGAGCGTGAGAGGGGCTCTGTCCTTCTGGTGGATGTCGCTGCATCCCCTCTGGCCCAGGAGCATGAGAAAGGCCCCATCCTCAGGCCACGTGGGTGCTGGGTCAAGCCCATCCCACCACGGGCCCTTTGCCTCACAGGACCATCAAGGTGGAGGTGTACGACTGGGATCGAGATGGCAGGTAAGCAGGCAGAAGGGCAAAGGGGGCAGGGATGGGGCAGGGATGGGGCAGGGATGGGGCAGGGATGGGGCAGCCACTGGGGGAGGTTGGGCCCCGCCCTCACATGGGGACAGCTGTGCCCAGGCCCTGCCTTGTGGCAGTTCTGGGGGTGAGGGGACCTGGGTTTTTCAGTGGGATGTCCCTTGCCCCTTGATTTTAGTCACCTAGGACCTCTGTCCTGCAGGACATGGTACAAAGGGCATAAGAGGCCTCTTTTTCTCAGAGAGCTGCCTAGCGGCCAGTCAGTGCCTCAGATCTCCCCACATTTGGGAGGGTTTAGGATATTCTGAAATGTGCATGTTGTAAGGTGTAGACAATAGTGATGCCCTGAGCATTCATGGTCACGTTCTCTGTGTGAGCTAAGCCTTGTGGGGGTGACCAAGGTGCAGAAGATGAGCTCAGGCAGTGAGAAGGGACTCAGATGAATCCCATTCATTTTCCACAAATGAATGAACTCAGGAGCCTTGAAGCAGCACCCGATTAGGACCAAGCCTGGCCAGTGGGAAGGTACTGCCTCCCCCTTCTGAGTGTCCCCAAGGAGCCAGTGTCACTGGGAATTCACAGGCGAGGACGAGAAGGCCTCTCACAGCTTTAGTCCAGAACCCTCACAGGCTCCTGCTTATCTGTTGAACCAAGGCCAAACGTACCATCCTGACTTTTGTGAACTCTCCATTCTGTGGAACAAGCAAGGGGGTCACGGAGGGCTTTACACGCCACAATCTCCATTGGTACCTCTCAAGTCTGTGATGTGGACGGGGATGCTATAAAGGGCTGTGTAGACGCAGCTGTAAGTAGGGCCAAGCCCCTTCCAAGGAGCTTTCCTTCCCCTGAGACCATCCCATGGAGACCAGCCAGTGACAACACTACCTCTGGTAACTCACCTGTGCCCTGCTCCTCTCCTCTTTAACCACTTCACAGGCAAGTCGGCTCCCTGTTTCCACCCATGATTTGACTCATCTTACCCTGGAGTCCCCCATACTTCTCCTTTACTGGAGGAAGCTGGGGACAGCCACCAGATGCAGTTGGTTCCCACCATCAAGGAGCTCAAAGTCTGCATGCAAAGAGCTGTAAATTGTAGTAAAATGTAATGTGGGCCCAAGGCAGGCACGGCCCCAGGGACCCCTCCTGGGCAGCGCTCTCCAGTCTCCGGTAGGCGCTCCGCACCAGCACAGGCAGGCCCGAGGCAGCCAAGCACAGCAGAGCGGGGAGCTCTGCTTTGTGTGAGGTTTTGCTGCACTTACTATGAACACGCAGAGCCCCAGAAGGTGCAGAAAGCACCTCCAGTGGCCTGCGTGCACATAGCGTTAATTGTCTTTTTAAAAAATATAGGAAAAATGTCCAATGAACACAGAAGTAGAGAGAAGAGCTCAGTGAACACTTTTAAGCCTATCACCTGAATTTAACAGGTGTTATGTGCTGCATGTTTGCTTTATCTATGTTTTATTGATGTAGTTTAAATTACAGACATAATGGTTTTTTATCTCTACATATCTGATTGCAAATGTCTAAAAAATAAGGGTATTTCCTACATAATTATGAATGCCAGTATCACACCTGACACTTTGAACAATAATTCTTGAATGCCTTCTAATATTCATTTCATATTCAAATTTCCCTAGTTGTCCCCAAAATACCTTTTTGTTGCTGGTTTGTTCAAACAAGAATCCAATCAGAAATGGATCCCGTTCTCCAGAGCCCTTCTCTTTGCTACTTGGCCATCAGGTTTCTTGCTCCATAGATGACACTGGACTCCTCCCAGGGGTCCAGCCTCTCTGATGGCGTGTGCCCCTGGAGAAGAGGCCTGGGCAGAATTGGGAGCCAGGGGAAGGGACATGGGGGTGGGGGCAGAGGCAAAATGTAGCAGAGACCTCGTGATCTCAACAGCAGCCTTCCTTTGCAGCCACGACTTTATTGGGGAGTTCACCACCAGCTACCGGGAGCTGGCCCGTGGGCAGAGCCAATTCAACATCTACGAGGTGAGGCGAATGCTCAGCATCTGGGGTTTGCTCGAATGGGACATAGCTCCTAGCCATTGAGGGCCACAGGAAGCCATGTGCGGGGGTTTTGCAGGTTCTCCTTTGAGGTGGATGTCATTGTCCCATTCTATAGTTAAGGAGACTGAGTCTCAGAGAAGTTAGAGGAGTTGTCCAAAGACACATTTCAATAAGTGGCAGAATCAAGAGGCAAGCAACCTAGATTAATCTGACTCCAATAACTGAGGTACGGTGTCCCCCAAAAAGAATACTTCCAATTGGGAGGGGCATAGAAGTGGGGATGGAGGAGGAAGTGGGGAACAGTGTCAGAAAGTTCCGGGCCTGAGACCCGAGGTCCCGAGTTCAAGATGGCCCTCTTCCTTTGATTAGCACAGTTTCAGGGCCTTTTCTGGAAGGAGCGGCCAAGAGGAACAGGAGTCGGGATACCTCTCTCTGTCTAGACCTGGAGAACCTAAGACAAGGCCCCCACTCTCTCTCTGGACATAGTATCATTCGCCCTCAAAGGACAGCCTCTGCGGCTGAAGCTTTGCTGGTGTGTGCTCTCCCCCTGGAGTGCCCTCGCACCTTCCAAATCTAGCTCAGCTCTTGCTCCAGTGCTGGCCTCCCACCCTCGTTCCTACTCGGGTTCTTAGCCTGATTCTACCTTGAACTAGCCATGTGATCTCAGCTAAGTTCCTGAACCATCCTGCTATGCCACAGTGAATTGAATAAGTTGCTAGAACAATGCCTGGCCTGAATGGGCATGACGTCAGTGCTGTCTTCCGGGATCCTGTGTTGCGCTCCTGTGTGCCAGGAGATTCACGTTTCACAACCATCTGCAAAGGGCTCTAGCCCCACATTAGCAGCCACTGAAGAGCTGGCTTTGACTTCCGCCACTGAATCTGAACCCCTCCGTCCTTCCTCTTCCTCCCCCTGTATCTCTGTCCCGGGTGATCAGGTCTTGCATTTCAACTAGACTGAAGCTCCGCAAGGGCAGGTGGCAGCCCTCTTGGTTGCCTCTCTTCATGGTGGCCTGGGCCCTGCTGGGCCCACGGAAGTGCTTATTGGACATCAACACACTGAATTAAGTTGAACAAGGCCATTGTGAAGATGGAACGTGGGTGAATTTCTTTGAATTCCTCACAGTTAATTGCTTTGGTTTCCGCATCAACAAAGGACGGGATGTCTTTGCCCGCCCCATACCCCACCCTGGCAGAGAGAAGCAAGCTCTGTCTTTCACCGGCCTCCCTGTATGGAGATTCTTAGAAAGGTTGAAAGAAAGGGGTCAGATCTCTAGGAGTTTGGCTTCTAAGGGTGCTTGACAGACAGGAAGAGGCTGTGGTCTTTCAGGCTAAAAACGGAAAGGTTGGATTAACTTGTTTTTGTTGGTCATGTGTCCCTGTTCCCTTGTAATGGACAAGAAAAAGCTGGAGCTCTGGGAGGCAGAAGCATTATCTTCACTTGGAAATGCCTTCGGGCAGAAAAGGAATTAAAGCTCCGACAGCCTCAGGCAGGCCTCGGGCTGCGGGAGTGTCCCAGGGAGGGCTTTCTGACAGCCCTCTGGAAGAGAGAACACGCTTCTGCCCGGAGAGACCCTCACCTCAGGCCCTGGTGCCACGCTGGCCGTTCAGCTTCTCTGTCTGGCTGTCTGCTGACCACTCCTTAGACAGCCTTCCCAAACTGAATGCACCAGCTGAAGCCTCCCCCCAGCCCTCCCCTTGACCTGGCCAGCCTGTGCCGTCATCACGGCGCCACAGCACCAGGGGGAGCAGCCATCCATGACTGCACCCTATCTCTACTACCAACGGAATATTATGACATTTGTTCCCTTCATTCCCGTCCATCCCCACTGTCCCCTCCCCTGAGTGGGGGCTTTGCAACAGCCCCTAACGACCTTCCCACCACCTCTCATCCCCCACTCGATAACCTGAGTGCTCCTCCAAAATGGTCACTTGACCACATCCCTGCCCAACTTCAAACCCAGTTGTACATTGTACCCACCACTTCAGCCTGGTTCACACAGGGGAGAGGGAAGGAGATTAAGAAAGATGCCTCACCCAAGCTGAGAGCTACAGGGCCTTTTACCTTTGGGGTAAAGTCCCAGCTCCTTCACATGGGTGCCATGCCTCAGTGACCTGTAGTCCTTGTGCAGCCGGAGGGCCTGTGTGAGTAGATGCACGTGTCACGCCCCTACTAGCCCCTAGGGTCTGACCCCAGCTCCTCCCTCTGCCCACTCCACTTCCAGGCGAATCACACCATCTGAGGTTCTCTGAACCTATATTCTGCCTCCTCTTCTGTGGCTTCCTTCTCACAGGTGCTGCCCCTATGTCTGGGTGGTGTCTCACTCATTGTTGTATCCCCAGAGCCAGAGCAGCTCCTGGCCCCTGGGATCCACTCCATGCCCCCTTGTACAAGAAGGTAGACCCCAAACCCACCCTGGGGGGGTTTGAGGTATGAGGAGAAGGAGAGGAATAGGTTTAGGAGAACTCCAGCCCAGGGATTTTGGAGGTTCCCAGCCTGACCCCTAGGGTGCGCTGGTCCCGAGCAGGGAACCTCCTGGTGCATCTGCTTTGGGCAGGAGAGCTGAGACAACAGGGAGGGGGTGTGTGCTGCGGAGCGCATGAAACCTCAGGATAAACAGGGCGTCTCTCAGTGCCATTTCACATGAAGATCTGAGAACAAAACATTGCTTTAATATTAAAAGTTATAATTAGAGAGTGGAAATGTGGAATACTGGCTAATTTAAAGACAACACAGAAGACTTCAAAGAAATGTGCTTGTGGCCAGGTCTTTGGGCGACGCCCAGATCCCCAGGAGTCTGTGCTTATTCTCCTCAGCTGGGAGGACTAGTTTGGAGTAAAAGTTTAAGATGCACTCAGTTCTAAAAGTTCTGAGTCTTCCTGGGACAGATTGGAAGACTGAGGCACAGGGCAGCACTCGAGTTTGCAACTGAGCCCCCATCTCGCCTCCTTGCCTAGTAGGCTGTTTTCCCATGAATGTGTCTGTGAACCGCGTCATCGGGGTGGCTTTCATGCCTGTGGAAGATTTGAGGTTGTTCTGAACTTCTCTCCCCAGACTCTCACTTGCCACCTGCACAGCTTGCTAGCCCTCGCACCTGAACTCCCCACCTGTGCCCCAGTCCAGCTCTTCCTTCCTTCTGTGTCTACCTGGTTGCCCCTGACCCCTCCCTCTCTCCTACCCCCACAGCCATGCCCGGGGCCCAAGATCTGTGGTCAGTTCTTGACAATGCTCTTTTGCCATAGCTCAGTACCTGTTCCAACACCCAGAAGCCCTCATTGACTGTCACCTGGACGGGTGGGGGTGGTAGTAAGTAGTAGTAATAGAAAGTAATAGCAGCCAACACATACATAGTACTTACTACATTCCAGACCGTGTCCTAAACACGTGACTTGTATTGACCCATTTAATTCCCATATCTTTCTATGAGGTAGGTACTTTTTATTCACACTTTACAGATGAGGAAAGTGAGGCCCAGGGAAGTTAAGTAGCTTGCCTGAGGTCACAGCCATGCGGTGGCAGAACCAAGCAAACACTCCCCTGGATGTCCCTCTTTCTCCCCCGTACTCACCTCCACCAGGTCCCAGCATCCTAGAGCCTGCTGTGGCCTGTCCCCTATCAGCTTAGAGCTTATCAGAGTTCTCTGCCAGCTGCTGGGCGATGCTCAGATATTTAAATTGGCATTCGAGGTTCTCTTCCAGCCAGCCCAGTTTACTCTTCCACCCTGTGGTCCTGCACTTAAGCTGGACCCCAGCTCTGTGTTCCCTTCCCCGCAATATCTCCTCTGGCTGGGATGCCTCCTTCCACCTCTGTATGTCCAAATCCTTCCTGTCCCTTCGCGTCTGCCCTCAGCGCCACCTGCCACGGGAGCCTTCGCTGATGCTCCCACCCAGAGCAGGCCTCCCGCCTAACAACTCCCTTCACATTTCGGACTCCCATTTCTTTGTGGCTCTTGTCACCTATCCCAAGGACATGTCTTCTTTTCCCCAACTGGAGTAATGGGTCTAGAGGACAGGAACTGGTACCCCCACTCTGTAAATATTTGTGAAGAAATATGTTTGTATTTGTAATCAAGGTGGGCTGGTTTCTAATTCTGTCACTACCCAGACCAGCTGTGTGACCTTAAGCAAAACACTTGGTGTCCCTGTGCCTGAGTTTCCGTATCTCCAAAACTGGCTATCTGTAGTTAGAGGGAAGAGACCATATCTAGAGACCTGCTGACTGGCCCTGCAGGAAGAACAGGAGATGAGGGAGAGGGGAGTGAGCTCACTGGAAACCTGAGGAGGGCAGAGCGGGTGTGAAGATCAGAGGTTAGGGAAGCGCTGGGCCTAGATTCCCCATGTAAGAATCCAAAGAGCTGGTGAGGCTCAGATTAGAGCACAGATGTGCCTGTGATAGACCCGTGAGGGCTCCCAGAGCAAGGGGTCCTCCTCACCAGCCCGGGCCTCTCAGCTTCGCCACTGCCGGCACTTCAGACTCGGTTCTTGGTTGCGGAGAGCTGTCCTGTGTGTTGTTAGGATGTTTAGCAGCATCTCTTGTCCCTACCCACTCCCCGAGTTGTGACAACCAAAAAGATTTCCAGACATTGCCAAACGTCTCTGGGGGTGGGGAGATCACCCCCAGGTGAGGCCACTGAGTTCACCCACAAAGAAGTGCTTGGTTTTTGCAGGGGGGTGTTTTTTTGTTTGTTCTTTTTAGCACCTACTACATGCCTAGCTAGTGCTCTGATAGATTCTCTGAGGACAGGTCTGGTTTGGAATGAGAGCTTGCACGTGAAGAACAGTTAAGGAGGTTCTAACTGTGGTGTGAGGGTGCGGGTGGTGGAGCGAGGAGCAGGAAGGATTGGTCGGGGCGGCAGAGGCGTGTTCCAGGTGAGGGAGCAGCCTGAGCCAGAGTGAGGGGCAGGCTGGGACAGGTCCCTTTGCAACATTGAGCCTCCTCTGTCTGAGTAGGGTGGAGGATGTGTTTGGGGAGCAGTGGGAAAGATTAAATAAATATTATTCCTGGTGTGTTTGCCTATGGGTCCAATTAGGGAGCCCAGTTGCTTAAATCTAAATGACAGTCTCTCACAAGACCTCCCTGAATCCTCCTCCATGGGACCCCCAATTTCCCCAGCCCACTCTGCTTACCGGGGTCTGGGCCACACCCAAGGGCCCACGGAAACCCCAGGGGCCCAGCTGTGCCTGTTTGGAAACCTCCTTCTTATTCGGTGACTGGTTTTTCCTACAGGTGGTAAATCCAAAAAAGAAAATGAAGAAAAAGAAATACGTGAATTCTGGCACAGTGAGTAGCCACCCCTTCCTTCTTCGCAGCCCAGTGTAGATGCCCTGAGCCCGGAGCGGGGCCTGGTGTCAGGAGGCATGGGTGTCTGCGTGCTCTCGCAGTGTGGGAACCAGACCTGGAGAGTTGGGGTGGGGAGGGGTGGGGAGGGGTGGGGCCCTGGGAGCAGCCGCCCACGGGGCAGGCGGTGGGCAGTGGGCTGTGTTTCAGTGTTGTATCACAACAGGCTCTGTGACACAGAGTGAGGAATCCCAGAGAGAAACTCCCATGGGACTTCCTGCAGGAAGGAAGACGAAAAGGAGTAGCATTTATTGGGCCCTTACTGTGGGAAATTCCCAATTTTGGTGCTTTTCACAGATTGTTTCCTTGAGAGGCAGCCGTTATCATCCCCTTGTCATGAAAGAGGAAACCAAGGGTGCAGGCAGGAAAGTGACTCACCTAAAGTCACAGAGCTATAGAGTGGTAGAAATGGCAGGCAGCGTGACGGTTAAATTCTGAGCTGGCAGCGGCGACAGGCACTGCTCCTGCTTGACTGTGACCGTCCTAGGGTCACACCAGCCCGGCAGCTTCTGGGGGCTCATCTTCATGTGTTTCTTCAACAGGTGGAAATCTTTGTCTTACTGGCATTTCTATTCTAGTGGGAGGGAACAGAAAACAAATACAAATGCATAGCTATACCTGTATGTGTCAGGTTGTTACGAATGCTGTGGAAGAAAAGTAAAATAAGGTAAAGGGATAGGGAATGCCAGGGACAAAACAACTATTTTATATCAAGTGGTCAAGGAAAGCTTCTCTGAGAAGAGGACATTTGAGCAGAGATTCAAAGGAGGTGAGGGAGCAGGTATTAAGGATGATGGGGAAAGAGAATTGTAGTAGGGATCAGCATGTGCAAAGGCCCTGAGGTCGAGCCCACAGTGCATTTACAGACCAAGCCAATGTCTTTGCAGTGCAAACATGGCCACTTTCATACTCTTCATGTCCCGCCCCATTCCAGAGGCTCATAGCACCATCGATCGGCTAATGCAGCCAAACTTAGTCACGTGAGTCAGCCAGACTGCAACTCCAGACCCAGAAGACATCATAGTCAAGGGGCTCTGAAGTTCCTCTGAGGAACCTCATTTTCTCCATCCGTAACATGGGTTCATCCCTACGCTCCTATTGCACAGGGTGGCTATGACAGGCATGTCGGAGATGCGGAAGACACGGGCCTGTGAACTGCAAAGTAGTCTGCTTATTCAAAGGGGGCTACCCCCAACTTTTTTGATTGGAACCGTCTCACAGAGAGGCTTGGAGTAATACAGGGTGGGGAAAAGTAGGCTTACAGTTGTTCATATGGAAAATAATGCAATAATTAATAAATAATAATACAAGAATAAACTGTGTTTTACCTACTCACAACTGTAAACCTACTTTTGTCCGACCCTGTATTTCCTTTGTCCAAAGCTGCAGTGTTTCTCAGTGGGGATGCTGTTGGTGATTTAGGCAGGATCATTCTTTGCCTCACAGGACTTTGCTTTACATTGTGGGGTGCTTAGCACCCCTCACCTCAGCTACCAGTCAAGCCCCAGTCGTTGTGAGACCCCCAGAATTCTCCTACACTTTCCCAAATGCCTCTAGGGGAGGCAGCAACTACCCCAGCTGAGAAATATTGGATATAGTTTTTAAAAAAAGGTTTGAAAACTACAGATCTTGTCCAGCTTTCTTACTTTAAAGAGAAAGAAACTGAGGCCCAGAAAGGGGGAGTGATTTGTTTTAGGTCATATGGTGAGTTAGGGACAGAGCAAGACTGGGCCCAGGTTTCTTGACTTTCCTTTGCTGCGGCATTTCCCAATCTTCACTTTAAAAAAATCACTGAGAGCCCTGACTAGTGTGGCACAGTTGGGTGGGCATCATCCCGCAGGCCAAAAGGGCACAGGTTTGATTCCCAGTCAGGGCACATGCCTGGGTTGCGAGTTTGGTGCCCAGCTGGGGCTTGTGCGGAAGGCTACCGATCAATGTTTCTCTCTCACATCAGTGTATCAATGTTTCTCTCCCTCTCTACCTCCTCCCTTACACTCTCTCTGGAATTGATTAAAAAAAAAAAAATTAAAAGATCATTCAGGGTCCAGTGTGCTTATTAAAATAGAGATGTCTAGGCCAGTTCCCTAGCGTTCCAGGCTGGGGTTCAGCCATCTGTGTTTATTGTTTCTCATACCTTACTTACTATGTGCAGAAATCTCCTGGGGATCTTGTTAAAATGCCAAGAATCTGAATTTTTGCATTTTATTTTCATTTTTATTTATTTATTTATTTTTTGCCAGCATTGTAGTGATTCTGAGTTTGCTGGTCTGGGGACCACACTTTGAGTAGCAAGTCCGTGGGAGAATCCATATGGTCAGGCAAGTTAGGGTAATAGATCATCCCAGGGCCTGGATGGGAGTTCAGCTCTAACTGCAGGTTAGACTCATGTGAGGAGCTAAAAAAAAGATCCAGGGCCACAGCCCTACCCCAGACACTGGTGTAACTGGTTTGAGGGCCTCACGTGGGCTGCAAGGCGTTCTAAAAGCTCCCAAAGAAGCCTAATGATTATCAGGGGACACTATGCCATAGTCCCTTCCTGGTGAAAGGAGACCTTGTCCAGATGCCTAATGCCGGAGCCACAGTGGGGAGCGGTCTCCGAGGCCCAGTTGAGTACTCACAGACCCTCCTACTTTGGGGCTAAAGGCTCATCAGCTTTGTCAAGCTGAAACCCTACCTGGCCCACCTAGCGAGTCCATAAAGGTGGCTGAATCTGCACCAGTAGGGAGCTCCCCAAATCCGAGAGTGGAGTTCTCTGATGTAGGGAAAATGTCCCCTGCCCCAATCTTGCCTCATTTAATTGGTTTCGGCTGCCAGGCTTTCACTTGTCTCTGCGATCCTCAATCATTGTAATGAGCTGCCAGGTAGCTGCCAGTGTTGGTGAAGCTGGTGCCAAAGCCGCCAGCGGGCATAGGTCAAGAGGCCTCTGCGTGGGAGAGGGAGTCCTGGGTGGTGTTACCTTTGGGGGAAAGGACAGGCTGCTTAAGAGGGTCTTGGGTCTGAGGGTAGAGATTGAGAGATACCAGAAGGATGAGCGGGGACTAGTAAGGTTTAAGATAAGTGCAGACCAGAGAGGCACATTGCAGGATTAATGGTTAATGGGGTATGGAAGTGTGGAGCTTGTCAGCATAGCACGTTGTAGGACTGTGTCAGAAAGACCCCCTTGCCCTCTACGCTCCACACCGGTGTCTGCTTAGGAGAAAATCATGCCCTTGGCTTGAACTCCAGGGACAGAGAGAGTCCTTCCAGGATGCAGTTTGAGGTCAAGAGTGCAGGCTTTGGACTCAGAAAGACCTGGTTCCTGTCTCACTTGGCCACATGCTGACAGTGTCCTTGGGCACACTGCATCACCTTTTTGAGCTTCAGTGTCCTTGGTGATAAAATGGGGATGATAGTAGCACTTTACAGGGTTGTTGGGAGCCCCGTATGCCATGGTGTATGCAGACTGGCACATGCTCAGTGCTCCAGCAGTGTCAGCAAACCACCTTCCCTACCCATGCTCCGCACTGACCAAGCTCCCTTTTGTTTTCCAGGTCACACTGCTTTCCTTTGCTGTGGAGTCAGAGTGCACATTTCTCGACTACATCAAAGGAGGGTGAGAAGAGATGCATCCCGGTTTCTATGGCCTGAGAAAAAGGGAAGGGGCCCCACACATGGGCATGAGCAGCTCTGGCCCCACCCTGGCCTCCGTGAGGCCCTGGCTGAAGCCTGTGATTCTGGGCTCTGAGCAGCCCCCCAGTGTCCGGGTCCAGACAACTCTCCAGAGCCCTACATGCTCCTGGATCCTGAGCGGCTGCGGAGGGCATTCCTGGGCCCTGGAGCCCAGTGGGTCGCATCAGGTCCCCATGCAGCGATGAGACCTGGATATGGTAGGGACTCCATGACAAAGGGAACCAAGAGCATAGGGAGGCAGCATGAGCCCTGGACTAGGAGTCATGAGGTGCAGGCTCTAGACCCCTTTTTGCCCGAATTGGCTGGATTACTTTGGGCAGGTCACCGTCTCTCCCTAGGAATCAGGTTCCTCCGAACGCAAGAGGTTGAAGTTTGGTGAATTCTAAGATTCTTTTCTGCCCTGAGCTCCTGATACCTCTGGTCTGTGTGGAGGGCAGTGATTCACCTGCCTGGTGTCATCAGGGACATATAAGGGGTAGGAGGGAATGGGGGATGAGCCAGGAGGTGGCCCCAGGACCAGCAGTTGGTCAAACATGAGTTTAAGGAGCAGAGAGAGCCCGAGACTCCGACTTCCAGGCCCAGGCAGCCAGGGAAGCCTTGGAGGCTCCAGCCAACAGCTCATGGAAAAACAGCCTGCTTCTGCCAAGGACAGGTGCCAGGTCAGGGTGTGGGTAGCCAAGAGCCCACAGGTGCAGGCAGGTGAATGATACACCTGTCTGGAAAGGAGACAGGCAGGGCAGCTGCCAGAGGCTCATCCCAGCCAAGTGGGCCTTGGCTGCCTGGCCTCCAGGGCAGAGGGAAAGTCAGGGCCTGGGAAGCCACACTCGCTCTCCCATGACAGGGCTCCCGGCCGCCTTGAACCCACAGTCTCAAAGTTGGGAGCTCTCCTTCACCCACTGGGCACACGCCCTCCCTGCAATCACCCAGAGGCCTCCCTGCCTCTACTCCCGGCCCCTCCTGAGCCTATTCTCCACCCGCCCTTGCTCCCTTCCCCCATCAAAACTGCTCTGTTCTTGACCCATTAAGCAGCCATCCCTTACATTCCATAGTACCTGGTAATTTCTAAGCAATCCTCATCCTGTTTATTCTTCTCATTTGCATAATACCCCCAATTTACAGAACACAGTGGGAAAGGAGGGCAAGGTGGGTCTTTATTTTACATAGCTATCCAGAGGCCCCATGCCTAGCCAGTGGCAGCGTGCCTTCTGTCACCACATGCTGCATTTCCTCCACACTGATGACTATCCCTGCCCGCCTGGCAGCGACCAGGTGGGGTGGGACGCAGGCAGAGAGTTAAAGGGCTGTGACGTCTACTGGAGAAGGAGCCTCGAGGCGGGTGGGCTCCTGCGCAAAGCTGGCGCCTGGAGTACTGGGCAAGTTGGAACGCTGGAAACGCCCTAGCCCTCCCCTTCTCCAGCCGCCCCACGCCTCTCTTCTTACTCGCTCGCTCGAGCATCTGAGGGAGAGGCTGGCTCCAGGCAGCGAGAGCGGCGTGCGTGTCCAGGCAGGCAGCTGACAGAGACATCTGTCTAGGGACTCTCTCCTCCCTGGCCTCGCTCCCTGGCCCACCTGGAGGGGTGGGACGGGGAGGGTATGGGCACCTCTTCCCCCGTGTCAGAGATAGAGCTGTTGTTCAACAGCCTATGTTCCACCCTGCCGTGCCCTCAGGAGAGGTGAACCTGCAGGGAGGAACTTCCCCGCAAAAGTACCTGCTTTCCAGTCACTTTAGGGCCTAGAGCAGGGGAAGACTACTTAAGGAGTAAGGCCTGCCTGTCCCCTCAGATGTAGTCCTGACGGTCAAAACACTCTCCCAAGGACAGCCCAGGGAGCCAGGCTGTTACCCTCCAAATGTCTCCCTTCTCTATCGCAGTCACAGTCTCTATATTCCACACTGAAAGGTGACAAGAAACAGCAGATGAATAGGGTGGATCAACTGCTATAACAAATAACCCCCCAACCTCAAGGCTTAGTACAAATAAAGGCTTATTTTTAATTCTTGGGGTGGCAGGGATATGCTTCACACAGTCACTCAGGAACCCAGCCTCTTACCACAGTACCACAGTATTAACCTTTGCTGGATCGAGTAATCTAGGTTGTAGGTCCTTGCTTTTCATCACTTTGAATACTTCTTGCCAGTTCCTTCTTGCCTGCAAAGTTTCTTTTGAGAAATCAGCTGACAGTCTTATGGGAACTCCTTTGTAGGTAACTCTGTCTTTCTCTTGCTGCTTTTAAGATTCTCTCTTTATCTTTAACCTTTGGCTATATTTTAATTATGGCGTGTCTTGGTGTAGTCCTCTTTGGGTCCAACTTGTTTAGGACTCTCTGTACTTCCTGAACTTGTATATATATTTCCTTTGCCAAATTAGGGAAGTTTTCTTCCATTATTTTTTTCAAATAAGTTTTCAATTTCTTGCTCTTCCTCTTCTCCTTCTGGCATCCTTATGATTCAGATGTTGGCACATTTGGAGATGTCCCAGAGTCTTCTTATATTATCCTCATTTTTTAAAATTCTTTTTTTTTCTTTCTGTTCTGGTTGAATGTTTATTTTCTTCCTTATGTTCCAAGTCATTGATCTGAATCCCAGTTTCCTTCCTTCAGTGTAAGTTCCCTGTAGATTTTTCTTTATTTCACTTAGTGTAACCTTCATTTCTTCCTTTATGGTGCTGTACTCAGTAAGTTCTTTGAGCATCCTGAGCACCAGTGTTTTGAACTCTGGATCTGACAGGTTGGTTATCTCCATTTTGTTTAGTTCTTTCTCTGGGGTTTTGTTCTGTTCTTTCATTTGGGCCGTATTTCTTTGTCTCCTCAGTTTGGCAGCCTCCTTGTGTTTGTTTCTGTGTGTTAGGGAGAGCTGTTTTGACTCCCTGTCTTAGTAGCATGGCCTACTGTAGAAAAGGCACCTGTAAATTGTATGGGGCGGAGCCTTTGGTGATTGCTAGGGTGGAGCAACCTGCCTCACCACTTTGTGGCTCTGTGTTGGGGGAGGGCCCAGAGAGGGGACTGTGCTGCTGCCTGGCTTCTGGAGATTTTCCCAGCACGCACCCTGTTTTCAGTCACTTCACCCAACGCCCATATGCAACTGGTACCCTTCCAGCTGTTGCGCTGGTATTGAATCCCAGAATGGGTGTGTTTGTGTGCATTCTAAGACTGTGCAGGTCCTTTAAGCAGAGTTTCCTGAAAATCGGGCAGTTTCTTCCACCACCCCACCTCCCACTGGTTTTTACAGTAGAAGTTATGGGTATTTAGCTTCCTGGCGCTGGACCCCTAGACTGTGTGGTCTGGCTGGGGCCCGGGATAGCTCACTCCCAAGGTGTCCCTCCCGATTTTTATCCACCACAAGTGAATGTGGGACTGCCCGTGCCTGTTCTACCACCACCACCACTGCGTCTCCTCGCCTTTCCGCCCCCTCTGTGACTCCTCTCCTACCGGTCTGGATGAACGTGGCTTCTTTAACTCCTTGGTTGTCGGACTTCCATACAGTTTGATTTTCTGATAGTTCTGGATGTTATTTGTTTTGAGATTTAGCTGTAATTCTTTTTGTGGTTGTGCAAGGAGATGAAGCGTGTGTGCCTATGCCTCCATCTTGACCAGAAGAGGGGATCTTCTTTTTAAACAAGCTCCCCTGGTGGTTGGGCTCACTCACTGTGAGAACCATCAGACTAGACTTTCTCAGGGGCTCATATCTTGTCATCTTTGTCCTTGTCAGCACCTAGCACAGAACCTGGAACAGCCAAACCCTCAGCAATTTCAAATCTGAATCTGAAGCCTCAAAGCTAACTTTTTACTATAGGAAAATCCCAAACACATGCAAAATTGGAGAGAAGAAATGATGAACCCCAAGGACCCTTCACCCAGACTCCACAATCACCAGCTCATGGCTCGTCCTTCTCCATGCACTCTCCCTTCCATGCAATTATTTGGAAGCAAATCCTGGACATGTCATCCCCCAAATGCTTTAGGATGTGTCTCTAAAATAAGAGGGTTCTGTTTGTTAAGTATAACTAAGTACCATAATCACTCCTAAAAACAGAAACTTCTTAATAACAAATCTAGTCAGTTTTCAGATTTACCCAATTGACTTTTAAAGTTTCTTAATTGGCATATTTGAAGCAGAAATCAGGCAAGATCCATATACAGGTAGCAAAAGTAGGTTTGCAGTTGTAATACAAATAAATAATACAATAAAAATGATACAAGACTAAACTGTATTTTGCATACTCACAACTATAAACCTATTTTTGCCCACCCCTGTATTGCGCTTGTATTGATTTGTCTCTTAATTCTCCTTTCATCTCTGGGGTCCCCCACTCACACCTGGAGGGTTTGCTAAGACTGATTCAGTGGGTCTACAGGAGACTCAGGGTCCTCTGAGTCCCCAGGTGATCCCTATGCTGTTGGTCCTTGGATCACTGCCAGTGGGGCCCCGGAACCCCCCGCGGACTGCCTTTTACTGGCTGCACCCCCGTGGTGTCATTTAACATGTTCCTCTGCCCCCTGTATTTCCTATAAACAACTGGTAGATAGTTCTGGAGGGTCAGTCAGATTCGGGTTCAATTTTGGGCAAGACAACAGTCATGGGTAGTGTTTTGTTCTCCCCTGAGGGGATGACAACTCCTATTTGTCTCTCTTTTTTTGTCAAATAAGTTTTAACCCTGAGTCTGACTCCATATTTGAGCCAGAAATACAGCGAGACTCTACTTCACTGGCCTCAGGTGGGACCAGGGGCAGAGTCTGGGGAACAAATGAGTAATCATAATCACACAGAACATCATCATCTTCAAAGAGCTTTCACTCTGCCTGACTCTTCTGATGCTCACTCACAACAGCCCTGGGAGGGAGGGCGTGGCTGGCATCACTATCCCAGGTGGAAAGGCCACTTACCGGGCGAGCAGCGGGGCTGGGTGCAAGCCAGGTTTCCCACTCCTTGTCCAGCCTTGCTCACCCACCTCTCCAAGCCCTGCCTCTGTCCAGGTAACTTCCCTGCTGTTCTCCCTCTTCTAGGACCCAGATCAACTTCACAGTGGCCATCGATTTCACAGCCTCCAATGGTGAGTGGGGGGAGGGACAGAGGAGCTGGATGGGGGAGGCAGGGGAGGGCTTTTCACGGCTGAGGTAGCTGGCCCTAGCTGGCAGCCAGGTCTCCCATACTCTCTGGCCTCATCCTCACCAAAGAAGGAGTCCTTAGGCCTGGAGAACCAAAGATAGAACCACAGTCACTAACAGATCTGGGCCTTGAACTGCAGCCTGGCCCATGAGGACACTCAGTTTCCCTGGGGGAATAGAACAGTGCTACTCTGGGCCACAAAGAGCCCCGGAGCACAGAGGTGCTTCCTCACAGGGTCCGATCCCACACCTTGTGCAGTGCAGCCCACAGGCTGGAGGGGAGGAGGGGACTCAGCACTGGGCGCTATGGTCTTCCGTGAGGGCAGACACAGAGCCCAGGAACCCCAGTCGTCTCCTTTGCTGGGGCTGCCGCAGCTTCCTCCCTCCCCTGACCTCCTCCAGTATCAGGCTATGACCAAGCCTCCAGGAGCAATCAGTGCCAAACTTTACACTGTTATAAACGTCACAACCTTCTTTGGAGTCTGGACCCCCATCAGCAGGGCTCGGTGCTCATTTTTGTACCGATCAGAAGATGCTCAGGTCTCATACTCCACAAGTGTATCAGAAACCCCTAGCATCATAGATAGGATGTCAGAGCCGGGAAGGGCCTTAGTGATAATAACAAGGGAGAGAGTTACAGTAATAATACCTGTTTAATCCACACAGCAATCCTATGAGGTGAGGGGGGGGGGGTCTGTTATTATTCCCATTCTGCAGATGACAAAACTGAGGCTGAGAGGTTAAGGAACTTACCCAAGATCACACAGCTAGTAGAAAGTAGAGAAGGATTTGTACCTTTGCAGCCTGGGCTGTACTTCCTTTAATAAATAAGTAAAATATGGACAATATTAGCAGTGACAAGGGCTATGGAGAAAAGTCAAGTAAGGAAGGGGGATAGGAAGGGCTGGGGGAGGCTATAACTTTCAGAGGGCTGCTCAGGGAAGACCACACTGAGAAGGTGACACTAGAGTGGAAACCTGAAGAGTCGAGGGAGCAAGCCACGTGTACATCTGTGGGAAAGTGTCCCAGAGCAGAGGGAACAGCCATTGCCAAGGCCCTGAGGTGGGACTCAGAGACAGGGAGGGCTGTAGGAGATGAGGACAGAGGTAGCTGGAGGCTGGATCACGTGGGGCGCTGAAAGGACTTTGGATTTAATTCCGAGTGAGATGAGAGCCTTGGAGCCTCTTGAGCAGGAAAGAGGCGTCATCTAGCTGCCTGTGGATTGCCGAGCTCACTCTGGCTGGTGTGCTGAGTGCGGACCACAGGCACAAGGACTGCAGGAAGCAGGGAGGTCCCGTAGGAGGCTGCTGCTGACCTCCCTGCAAGAAGACGAGATCATGGAGGAGGGGCAAGTGGTCTGGACTCTGGATATATTTTGAAGGTTTAGCAATCAGGTTTTGCTAGAGGATGGAATGTGTGGTAAGAGAATGGCATCAAGGGTAAATAAATAAATAAAAGTTAGGGGCGCCTTTGGACACCCCCTTCTGATTCTGAAGCCAAGGTGGCTTGGAACATGCAGTCGGGCAAAAGTCCTGTGTCCTGTGTCACAGGGAACCCCTCGCAGTCCACGTCGCTGCACTACATGAGCCCGTACCAGCTGAACGCCTACGCGCTGGCACTGACCGCCGTCGGGGAGATCATCCAGCACTATGACAGCGACAAGATGTTTCCCGCCCTTGGCTTTGGGGCCAAGCTGCCCCCTGATGGCAGGGTATCCCACGAGTTCCCACTGGTAGGTCCCCAGAGAAAGTGCTGGGGGCTGACCAAGCTGGAGGAAGTGGTGACGAGCCTGGGGTGGGGGGCACTTCCCATCTTCCCCGCCCGGGGAGTTGAGGTGCGGTCTCTGGGGGGAGGGGCTGCCTGCTGTATGGAAGGGGTCTTGTATCAGGGGCTCTAGAACCCCACTCCCCACCTTGCTCACAGAGAACTGTCATCTGTGCCTAAAGCTGCCCACAGTGGGCTCCAGCCTCCTTTTCCTGACAGGACCAAAGTGGAGCTGCACTATCCCCCAAGGCCCCAAGAATGAGGATAGAGGGTATGGGTTGGGTTTGGGCAACTGCAGGTAATTCCAGGACCTCCCTGAGTTGATGCTGAGATGGGGGCCCTGTGAGAATATCTCATCAGGCCACCTCCTCTCCCTCCCTGCCCTGAGCTGGGGACCCTGAATCAGTCACTGGATCGCTCACAGCAAATATCCGTCACGTGCCTATGGAGTGCCAGGCCTTGTGCCGGGCACAGGACAAAGGAGGATGGATCAACCCTGGCCTTTCCAGAGCTGCTCGGACCCTGCAGACATTTTCCAGCCAGGGCTGGGTTGGGGGGGTGCTTATCTGAGCAGGTATGGGAGTGGGGCGACGAGCAGGTCCAGCCCCTGCTCACCAGAGCAGGCACTGTCTGTCAGGGTGGGCCCCCTCCCTGCCCCCACCAAAGAAGAATGTAGGACGGCCCAGGTCTGCTGGCCTCTGCCACCTGGTCCCACTCCTACTGACCCCCAGCCACCACCTTCCTACCCCTCCTTCCTTCCTGGGCTCAGCCTCCCCGTCCTCTGCCCCCAGAACGGCAACCAGGAGAACCCCTCGTGCTGCGGCATCGAGGGCATCCTGGAGGCGTACCACCGCAGCCTGCGCACCGTGCAGCTCTACGGCCCCACCAACTTCGCCCCGGTTGTCACCCACGTGGCCAGGTAAGTGCCGGGTCACTAGACCCCCATCCCAACAGTTCCCAAGGCTTTGGTCTCCACACCTGTCCCCTCAGGAAGACAAGAGGGAATGTTTCTTCCTGTTGACTTACCTTTCAGGGAGCCCTGACCCTAAAGAGACCCCTTCGAACCGAAGGAGCCATCCCCACCAAAGTGTTAAGGGGCTGTGCAGCGGGCGGGGGGACAACATGCCCAGGGCCTCCTAGACAGATCTTGCCCCGGTCCCAACCCAGGAACGCGGCCGAGGTGCAGGATGGTTCCCAGTACTCGGTGCTACTCATCATTACCGACGGGGTTATCTCGGACATGGCGCAGACCAAGGAGGCTATCGTCAACGTGAGCTGCGTGGGGGCGCCTGGAACTCCGGCGGGGGACTGTGCCTTCCCACTCCTTTAGGGAAACACTTGGGCCTGGCTTCTCCTCTCCCTGCCCTCTGTGAGACCACTCCTGGCCTCTGGCTGCAGCATCTGGGGGCCTGGGCACGGGGTTGGGGCATCGGTCCCACCAGTGAGCTCCCGACCCTCCTGTTAGTCACACTGGGTGGTCCACTCCCTCTAGTTGCCTCTGGCTCCCTCATTAACCGGCTTTCGGACCGCAGCCCAGCCCGGCCAGGTAGAGAAGGTGGGAGGTCCAGGAATGTGACTCCTCTGGTGGGGTGGTCTCCCTGTATCAGCTGCCCCAGCTACAGATGGCCTTCTCTCCAGGCCCGCACGAAAGGTGTCCCACATGATGGAGGTCCAAGAGCAGAGAAAGGGATGGGGTGTCTGGCAGAACTGGACCTGACCTGTGACCCATTTCCCTCTGCTTCTCTTCCTCTGCCCGCTCTTCTCGTGCCCCTGGGTCTGTATCCGCGGCTGCCCTCTCCCTCTCTTTCCTGCTTTTCCTGTGTTTCTCTGTGTGTTTCCCTATGTGTTTCCATCCTTCGCGCTTCCATCCTGTCCTCCTGACTTTCTTCTATGATCCACCCCCTGTCCGTACCCCTGACCCCCCCATCCCCTGCTGTCTCGCAGGCTGCCAAACTCCCCATGTCCATCATCATCATCGGCGTGGGCCAGGCGGAGTTCGACGGTGAGTCCCTCTCCCCTGCCCGGTGCTCACACAGAGGCGTCAGGCCCTGGGGAGTGACCCCGCCCCAAAGCACGAGCACTCACACCTGGGCGTGTGTGACTGTCTGGGCCCGCAGGCAGGGTGCCACAGCGCGCTTGTTTGCACAGGGGCATGAGTGTCGGGGTGTGTACCCCGCACCCACATCCCAGGGCTGTGGAGAGGAGGCCTGAGTCACTCCTCCCTTCTCCAACCCTGTGAGTTTGGGGAGGGTGGGGGAGCTAGAGGCTGGACCAGACGTCAGAGGCTCATGTGGGTGGGCTCCTCCTGTCTCATAGCCTCAGTTTTCTCATCTCTAACATGGGGGTCTGGTCTGCCAGTCTCTGCCCTGGGACTGGGGGACAAGTGCACTGTCTGGCCGGGGCCATTCATTCCCCCCGCCATGCCTGTCCTCCCCCCACAGCCATGGTGGAGCTGGACGGTGATGACGTGCGGATCTCCTCTCGGGGGAAGCTGGCTGAGCGGGACATTGTCCAGGTGAAGCTCGGCCCCTGCCTGCCCATCTAGCCAGGCTGACCTCACACCCCCTGCTGGGGGCTCTTCTGGAAAGGGCCCTGGAGAGAGGCACTGGGAGCCTCGGAGTAGCCCGGCCACCCCAGAAGGGAACAGGAGTCTGTCCTCAGGTCACAGCTCTCTCTGGGCTGGACCACTGGCTCTCAGCCCTGAGACTCACCCCTAGCGTTACGGTTGCCCCGCCCAGGCCTCCCTGAACCCCCAGGCCTCCGTGGTCTCCTTCAGAACACAGATGCCTTCCCAGTGAGATGGCCAACCCCTCGAAGGTGGAGGATGTCTTTAGTGCAGCCCCTCCCCAAGAACTGCTCTGCTTGGTTAACTGAATCAGTGTCTTAACATCTCCGCGTAGGGTGCAGACAGGTCTTGGGTCCTCAGGGCATCCCTGTCCAGTCAAGCCTCAGAGGCACCTCAGCAAGCAACCCCTCGGGGTATCTGCTGCAGGCAGAGTCCTACTGCTTAGGAGATTTGGAATAAAAAACACATTCTCCATACCCGCTGGATTTAAAAAAATTGGAATGGGGGAGGCATCATTCCAGGTGTGGAGACCAGATAAGGGGCTAGAAACCAGAGCAAGGGCCCGCTGGGAGGGGAGATCCCAGATGCAAAGGCCTGGAAGCAGGAGTGAGCTTGAGGCCCTGACTGGGGGAGGGGCGGACAGCCCCTGTGAGGAAGCCAGAGGGGCCTGACTTGAGTGAAGAGGAGAAGCAGGGCCAGTGAGACAGAGGAGGCTCTGCCCGAGCGGTGGGAGGCTGCCAGAGGGCCAATCTCCAGAAGCCAGAGGACTCATTCAGCATTTCCCACGTGCCTGCTAAGCACTTGGCGCCAAGACCTCGGAGCCAGGAATCTTGCTCAGCGGTGTCTCCTGGCGTGCAATAGGTGCTCAATAAGTATTTGGGTGAATGAAAGAATAGTGGCGTGATGACAGCGCTTCAGAGCGTTCACCATGGGGGGAGCGGTGGAGTGAAGTGGGCAGAGGCTGGGAGGAGTGCGACAGGAGCCCAGGTCTGGAGATCTGGGGGCTGAGATCCAACAGGAAACCTTGCTTTATCTTGCCTTTCCCGCTGGCCAGTTCGTGCCTTTCAGGGACTACGTGGACCGCACGGGCAACCATGTGCTGAGCATGGCACGCCTGGCCCGCGACGTGCTGGCTGAGATCCCGGACCAGCTGGTGTCCTACATGAAGGCGAAAGGCATCCGTCCACGCCCCCCACCTGAGGCCCCAGAGGGCTCACCCTCCCAGTCCCCCGCCCGCACGCCCCCTGCCTCCCCCTTGCACACGCACATCTGAGCCATGGAAAGTGGCTGAGGCCTGGGGATGCCAGAGGGGTATGCGGGTCCCTAGACCCCCCCTACAGTCTGCCTGGCCCAGCCTTTGGAACCCTGTGTGCCTGGAAGGCTGACAGAGGGTGGGGCCTCTGGAGACTCCTTCCCAGTTCCCTGGCCTCGCTTATGGCCCGAACCCAGAGAGATGGAGGGTACAGGTGGTAGAGGTAGGGTTCTGAGCCCCTGTTATTCTCTTCTTCCCCTGACACTTGGTTCTAGCCCAGCTGGGATGGTATTAACAAGCAGGATGATTGGGGTCCCACTCAGCCCACGTAGGCAATCCTATATGGCCCTGAAGCCTGGGCTGGGCCTCCCGTCTCCAGGCCCCCTTCTCCCTCCCTTCTTCCTAGGCTGTCTGTTCCTCTACTTGGCCCCTGACTCCCACCCCAGTATCTATCCTCTCCCTGTTTCCTGTGAACCCCATAAGGCTGATGGGCTGGCAGGAATGGCTGAACATGCAACCCCTCCCAGGGACACTTGCTTGCAGTGGGAACCCTGCAGCCTCCTGAAGGGGAGGCTGTGATGGTGAACCATAGGCCACGTGATGGGCCAGGAATGGAGGCTTTTCAGGCACAGTCTTTTCTGGTGCTTCTCAAGCCCAGTATGACCCTGGTTCTAGACACACAGATCCACAAGCCTCTCCCTGGCATGTGGGCCCACAAGCACCACAGTTGACTCCTAGCTCCAGGCACCCCACCTCCCCGCCGACACTGCCCAGGGTCCTTGGTGTCCACTCCTCTGCGGCCCACCTAGGCACCTGGGCAAGGACAGCCCAGCCCCAGCACTCCCACACTGCCCCTTTATCCCAGAGGGATAGGAGCCAGGAGTCCTAGGTTCATGCCCTGCCTGCAGCCCCTGCCTGTATGGGAACCCAGGCACGGACCTCTGCCTTCTGGGTCTTGGTTTCCACATCTGTACGGCAAGCGGATTGACCAGATGGTCTCGGGGTTACCTTTAGCTCTGAAGCCCTGAGAGTCCATTCACCCCATTCCTAGCTTCTCCCATCCCACTCCTCACCAGTGCAACCTCTTACCCCAGGCCGTCTTGGCTCTAGGGTCCCTTGTTCCATCTTGTCACCACCTTAGTCCTTCAGCCTTGGGCTCTGGCATCAGAGCCCAAGTGCCTGCCCCTGCCGTGGGGGAGGCGAGAAAAGAGATCCCCCCCGCTGGGCCCACCCAGCTGCTCAACCTTTACCCACATGGGAGCAGGCCACGCATGCCAGTCCCTCTGCTGCATGGGGCCCCTCAGCCCACCGACCGTCCCGTGCCGCCTGGTGGAGGCCAGGCCCACCCTGTCTGCTGCCCAACACCTCTCCCTCCCTGTCATGCATGACGGTGGTGTTTCTGCGCTGTCTGGTCCCGTGCCTGTGTCTGAGACAGTCTCTGTGTGGAATTTGCCTTAAATTGAAGTAAATTTGGTTCTTTTATTAAAGTTCCTTGTTTTCCTTTCTCGTGGGAAAATTAGTGCAGAGGTTGCTGTTTGACAGAGTCCAGGTTCTCCTCTCTCTCTCTCTCTTTCTTCCATTCTTTTGTTCAGCAAGGATTTGCTGAGCAACTACTATGGGCAGGCTCTGCGCTAGGCACTGGGATGCACCAGTGAACCAAACACAGGCCCTGTTTCCACATGGAGCTTACCACAGAGATAAAACAAGAACATGCTGTAAGCACATAAACAAATAAGCAAATGACAATTTCAGGTGGTGACCAGTTACGAAGAAAAATTAGGATAAGAGGTAAGTAAGAGGGTGATATTTTTGAAGAGGTAGTCAAGGAGGGCTTCTCTGAGGAGGTGGCAGTGAGATAAGGAAATGAGAGAGGGAGGCAAGAGAGCTCCAAGTAAAGGGAACAGCAAGTATTAAAGGCCCAGAGGTGGGAGCCTTCTCAGTGTGTTTGAAAGACAGAGATGAGGCTGGCGTGGTTGGAGCTGCATTTAGGAGGGATTAGAGTAGGAGCCTGGGTCAGGGAGCTGAAGAATCTGGAACACAGAGGGCCTTACAGGCTACGGTAAGGCCTTCAGCATGACTCTGAGTGAAGCAAGCAGCCATTGAGGAGACGAAAGAGGTAACGTGATCAGATTCTTCTCTAAAACAAGTGGGTCACTGTTGCACTTGATCACTCATTCACTCACCTTTCAATAAGTATTTACTGAGCATTAGTGCCAGGGCCCACTCAGGTTCGGAGACACCGACTCATACAGTTGCACCCTCAGGCTGCCACCCTTGCTCTGGAGCACTGAGCAAGGAAATCCTTCAACCCTGGGGTCCCAATGCCTAGCCAGTGGGAGGGCCAGGGTCTGCGGGCACCAGAAGATGACTTACGAGCCACGTGTCCAGGATGAGTTACTGCTCCTCTGTGCGATGGCACCGTCACTTCTCCCTCACAGGGTTATTGTGCAGCCAAACAAGCGACAAGTATATATGCACACGTGAAGCGTGTGCCGTGCACAGGAACTGCTGCACTTTAGGTTCACAACAAACACCATTTTCCTCCTTGCCCCTCTTCCCATATAAATCACTGTGGTCACCCGGGACCAGGGCTATAGGGACCTGCTCCACTGGGCAAGTCAGTTCTCAGATTAGGCCTCTAGGAAGCCATTCCCAATCTGCTCATCACAGGAAATTTGGTACTAATTCGACCAAAATTTGGGAGTTGTTTACTTCTTAGGATCTGACAGTAAATTAGTTGATTCATCGCTGTCCCTGTAATTAGCTGCTCCTCTAACTTGCATTCCTATATGCTTCGATGGGAACTGGCTGGGGTCACAGCTTAGAAAGAGGGCAGTTCCCATAGCCAGCGGCCTGTTTTACCTCTCCCTGGGCGCCCGTGGGAAACCTTTGGAGGAGATGCCCACCTGACAGAGGCATCGAGGCTCAGAGCCGTTTGCCTCCCAGCGCCGAGAGCATCTTTACTGTGCTCAACACTGTAACTCCCCTCCTGGATTCTTTCCTAAGGTGTGTTCCACGGAACACTGGCTCCCTGGCATAGATTTGGGGAAACTGTCTGCTCTGAGCATCTCTCAGAAAATCCCAAGGGCCTTTAGGGTATTCAAGGCTCTGATAAGTCCTGCAACAAAGAAACCAGTTTGACTTGGTTCAACCCAGCATTTTTGACCATGGAGTCAGAGGGGGCGGGTGTGTGTGTGTGTGTGTGTGTGTGTGTGTGTGTGTGTGTGTTTCACTGTAACACTATTACCAAGTAGACTGTGTTGTCTTGGAAATTTAAGTGGAGATAATCTCCCTGGTTCCCAGGCCAACAAACAAGCCTGAGACCTGCTTCCAGGAGGGCAGAGGTGGGGCATGGAGATGGGGTAGGAGAGATGGATACCTCTAGTTGATCTGGAGAGAACAAAGGGCCTAAAGAGGGCCCCCTACCCCAGCCACGCCAGAAAGAGAAACTACAGGAAAGAAAGGAGGGTGTTCAAAAATTCACAGGCCCAGACTCGTGGCTTCATGGTTGACTTTATTTGTGTTTCCTTCTTGGGCAAAGAAGCGTGTGTGACAGCGGGGGGCGAGGAGGGCAGGCAGAGAAGGGAAAGGCTGTTGGTTAGCGCGAGGGGTTGTGGGGGTGGTGCCTGCGCCTGGGCCCACCACCAACAGCATGGGCCCATTGGCCAGCAGCCCCACCAGCAGGATAAGGCCGAAGGGCGCGGCAAACATGAGTCAGAGCAGTTGCTTGGGTGTGTCTGTGAGCCTGTGGGTGACTGTGGCATTGGGCTCTAGTCTCCTCTTCTGGACGCAAAATGCAGCCTGAGGGCTGCCTCCCTGTTTTCCATGTTGAGTCCCACTCTTTTCACAAACCCCTGGTACAGGAGGTACCCTTGACATGTATTAGCCCCTTTAGACCTCGCAACAATCTAGTGGGACGGACTCCATCCACATCCTGGGTTCAAATCCCAACTCTGCCACTTGGTAGCTCCACTACCCTGGGAAAGTTACCTAATGTTTCTCTTCCTCAGTTTCTTCAACTGCAAAGAAGTGAGGAAATAAAGTAAATAAAACTAATGTCAACAGTTACTGTCACTAAAGGGTGAGATTCAGGTAATTTTCATTTTTTCCTTTTTAATTCATTTATTTCTTTTCTTAAAGATTTTATTCTTTTATTGTTAGAGAGAGAGGAAGGGAAGGAGAAAGAGAGGGAGAGAAACATTGATGTGACAGGGACATCCATCAGCTGCCTGTTGTATGTGCAACCCAGGCATGTGCCCTGACCTGGAATCAAACTGGGGGCCTTTTGCTTTTGGAATGACACCCAGCCAACTGAGCCACACCAGTCAGGGCTTAATTTCTTCAAAAATTTCTTCATTGAGTAGAAATGGAATCTGATAAATAAATATCATGGACATAGATAATGTATGCTTTTTTGGGTTTGTTTGTTTTTTTTTTCAGCAAAACCTTGCCCTGACCACGAAACAGGCAGATTTTAACTTGAGGTTCAGGTTAGAAAGTGGATACAAAATGGCTTTGAGAAGATGTAAAGCCCCTACCACCAGTTTCCAAATCTGTCTGCACATTGGAGTCCCCTGAGGAATTTCAAAAAGACTAATGCATGGGTCCCACTCCCAGAGACATGCTTTAATTGGTCTGGGCTTTGGCAGGTGACCCTAAAGCTGAGAACCACTGCTTTCTAAGGTTGTGGGGGGAGCGGGGGGAACGCTGCGCCCAAGCTGTCAGATCTTCCTCGTCACCCCCACTCTATCCCACATGCTGAGGACATGGGGTGCTCCCGGTTGAGAGGACTCGGCCTGGGAGATGAAATCTGGACAGCCCAGAGCCAGGCCCAGAGACCAGACACGGACGCCCTCCCACCTTTAGTGGGCAGAGGCTTCCTCTTTAACTCTAAGTATTTCCTGAGCTTTTACCCTGAGCCTGGCTCCAGGGATCCAGCAGCAAACAAGACGGCTCCAGTGGGGCCCTGATTCCAGCTGCCATCCCCTTTTCTCCTACAACAGGGACAGGGCTGGAGTCCCCTCTCTAGCTGGCTCAGAGCCAAGACTGGGGACTCCCCTGAGTCCTTCCGCAGAGCCTGCCTGGGGAGCCTGCCTGGGGAACCTGCGTGGTCTCTGGGGCCCCATGGCAACATCTTGCCCGAGGACAGCTGAGAAGAGACCGGAGAGGGGGCCTCGGGAGCTCTGCCCGCAGCACTTTACCAGGCCTCAGACTCCTTCCAGAGAAGGAGGAAGTGAGAAACCAGCCCCAGGTCATTCCCACTCATGCCCATCTTCTCTCTCTCTCTCAGCATCTGTCAGTGGTTCTGCATTCCTTCCACCTGGCCCAGGCCCGCCTGCCAGAAACATGACTAGAGAGGAGGGGAGGGAAAGGGAGAGGAGAAAGGCGAAGGGAGGAGGAGAGGGAGAGGAAGGCTCAGTGGACCCGGGCCCTGCTCCCCCTACGAATCCATTCATACCTTCCCATAAGGTTAAGCTTCTGGGTGCTAGAGCCTGGGTTCAAAACCCTGCTCTACCCCTGGCTAGCTACCTGACTGTGGACAAGTTACTCAATCCTCTGTGCTTCGCTTTCCTCATCTGTAAAATGGGGATAAGAACAGGCCCAATCTCATAGGCCTGGTGTGAGGATTAAATGAGGTGAAACAGTAAAGTGCTCAGGGCAGTGCCTGGCACATAGTAGATACTTGGTAAATGATGGCTGTTGCTCTGCTGCTGTCCCCCCTCAGTTCCAAAAAGCTCTGTTCCCTAACGCCCCTGTACAGGCTCCACTTATGCCCCTCTCCACCCCTTCTCACTGCAGTCCAGTGAGCCCAGTCCCACCCTCCTTTTCTTAATCAGCCTCAAGCTAAGTTATGACCTGAGCCCCCTTGGCTGACATGCCCTGAGAACTCACCACTTGCCTGGACGTTCTCTCTGGAGTGTACCTTTAGTCTCTCCTGCTGCTCTCCTTACCTGCCTCGTGTTGCCCCACGGTTCCTGGGTCTACTTGCTGACTTGGAACCCTGTGACACCGGGAAAGACGGCAGCCCCTCCATGGCTGTGCTCTGCACAGAAGCTGGATCCGGCCCGAGAGAGCCGAGGGAGGGTTCTGGGCAGCTATGCAGTCCCTTCCGGCATCCTGCCTCTAGGGAACCTCAGTCAGCTGCTTGGGGCCATGGCAGAGCTGAAAGGAAAGGGGCAGGCCCGGGGTCCACTTGTGTCCTGGGTCCCCCAAAGGACAGGGCTCTGTCTGTTGTACAGGCTCCTCCAGGAATCACACGCTGCCTTCTCATTGACTCACTGACCCACAGAGGGGTCGGTGCCTGCCAGGTCCCCATGGAAGGAGCCGTTAGCAGCAGCAGGACTTGTCCCCACCCTTGCCCAGGGCCAGGCACCACTCAGCCCACCTCCGCTCTGTGTGTGTCTCTGAGCACAGCGCTGCCTAGAAACTGCTCAGGGCAGGGGAGGCCTGCGTGCTCATGGAAGGGGCCCAGAGAGGGAAGAGGCACTGGGCGGGGGAGCAGAAATCAGTGAGGGGTCAGTAGCAGAACAGGCTAGGTGGCAGGAACCATCCTGCTTGTAGGCCAGAGGTCGAAAGGGATTTACGAAGGGCATCTGATCCAAGTTTTGGTGGCTTCTGATGTCTGGACCTTCTCCACCTCACCTCTTGCCAAGTGTTACTTGGCTTCGGCTTATATGCCTCTAGTGACAGCTCATTGATGCGGAGGCATCCCTTTTAGAACTGAGCAGAGGGACAGAGGCCAAGTGTGGAGACTTATTAAACAAGCAGGAAGGTTCTGACCTCTGTCTCCTACCCTCCCACTTTCCCCTTATTCTCTCTCTCTCTGTACCTCTGCCTCTTGGAGTGTCTTTGCTTGTCTCTTTATGAAACTGGAGTTTCCTCTGGTTCAGCTGAGGAATTCACTCAAATGTTTCCTCGGTGCTCTGCACACACTGGACAGTAGGACGCGGTGAGACTTACTGCGGGTACCAGTCAGCTGAGACAGACATTTGCAGCACAGATGACAGGAGATAGTCCAACGCTGAAGGGCTGGCTCTCCGAGTCTCTCAAAGCAGGCTCCCCAAGGGCACTGAGAGCTCTGGCCCCAGGTTATAACGTGCAGCCACCTTTCAGGAGGCCAATGTTGTGTAATGGTGGGAACTCCCACAAAAGCTCCAAAGAAGAACCTGTGAGTGATTGAATCCAGTGTCCTCGGCTGCTCCTCAGGCCCCAGCTATCACACCCCAGCTGTACCTCAAGGGCAACCAGAGGTTGACACCTCAGGACAGAGGGCTGCACCAGGGGACACCTAGCATTGGGGCAGGAAGTGGGATCCCCAAATGTGACCCCTTGGAGGCAGATCTCTGGGGCTCAGGGAGACAAGGGGACGGGGTCTAGCAGGGGCCAGCAGAACATTGCTTTTCCCCAAGAATTGGACTCTTCTCAGAAGAAGCCACAAGTTCACCGGCTCTGCCTGTCACACAACAGTCGGACTGCTTTAATGACCAGAGTACTTTGTTTTTAATGGTGATAGCAATTAATAATCAACACTAAAGCAGTGTCCTTGAAAAGTTTCTTTCTTCCCCCTCAACATTTATTTTTATTTCTGATTAATAGAAATACCCAGTCATTGTAGACTTGAAAATACAAATACATATAAAAAGAAAAACAAACATCCTCTCCCACATTCACCCTATAATTTTTTTTTAATCCTTACCAGATGATATTTTTCTTGATTGGAGAGAGAGAGAGAGAAACAGTGAGAGGGAAACACATCAATGTGAGAGAGAGAAACATTGATCAGATGTCTCCTGTAGATGCCCCAAATGGGGACTGAGCCCACAGCCTAGGTATGTACCCTGACAGGGAATTGAACCTGCAACCATTTGGTGTATGGGATGATGCTCCAACCAACTCAGCCACCTGGCCAGGGCCACCCTATACATTTACCACTCAGAGATGTGTGGCCAATAATGTGGTGTATTTTCCTTGTTTCTCTAGACTTTTCCTTTCTTTAAAGAGTCCCCCACGCGCATCCCAAGGATTATTTACTTAGCAAAGTCCTTCTTCGGAGAGCAAAGAGCAGTGTTAATACAGCCCCAGCCCTGGGGTCTGAGTCCTGACCCAAGGAGGATTCTCCTGAACTTCCACGCTGGCCCTTTCGGATGTCGCTGTGCCCAGGAAGATGAGACAGGAGTTGAGGATGAGGAAACTCTGAGGGACGGCCGTCCCATCCCAGCCAGGCCAGGTGGTCAGGAGCAACAGCCAGCTTTCTTTGGGGGCTTCTCAGGGACCACCTCCACCAGCGAGCCCTTCAGGCGGTCCTCTTGCTTCTTGAGTGACCTGCATGACCACACCCAGGCATCAGTCCTCTCTCTCACTCCCAGGGGCAGCAGGGAGGGGCCCGTGAGTACAGCGGAGGGGCTTCCTCTCTCCTACCTGCTCTGCCCCCACCCTATATTCCAAGTGGCCCCAGAAAAATGGGGCCACAGAGACCACTCATTCATTCACTCATTCATTCATTTGCAATATATTTACTATGTGCTGGGTACTTGTAAATCAGAGTCCAAGAGCTGAATGGCCAGAAAGAAGCCTTGGGGGCAGCAGGGATTCAGGATTCTGTGGGCCTGGAAGAAACTTGGGCTACTACACTAAAGCAAAGGGAAGTCTTTGAGCAGTTTTTTTGCCAAAGGGCATCGTGACTGAGCAGGCTTACAGGTTAAGGAGTCACTGTAGTCACTTTGTCAAAGGAGTTTAGCGGTCATCTAGTCTGATACCCCTTCTTCTTACTCATTACATTCATTTATTGAGCACATAGTAGTTGCCAGGTCCCAGGTGTGGGGGGAGGGACTAAACAAAACACACCTGGCCCTGCCCTCCAGGATCTACAGTCTAGGGCCAGGGGAGTCTAGGGGAGAAGGCCGACAGCCACAAGAAAACAGACAAAGGCATGGTAATTACGACATGCTCCGAAGGGCTTTGAAGGACACCAACAGACACCTGCGAGCACAACAGTGGCGGGAGGGGAAGTGGCTAGGGAGGGTCCCTCTGAGTGGCTGAAGCTTAGTGAGTGTGTGTAGTGTGTGCACGTGTTGCATGTGGACCAGTGTGTGCACGTGTTGTGTGCAGTGTGCACATTTGTGTGTGTGCACGCACAGGGACTGGGGAGATGGGCCTGGAGACATCGTAGGACATTGTGAGGCATTTGGATTTTATTCTAAATCCAGTGGAAGTCACTGGAAGGCTGGAAACACTTTATGGATAAGAAAAACTGAGGCTTAGAAAGAGGACATGGCTTTTGGGAGGTGACGCAGCTAGGGGGTCTGGTAGTGCTGGAGTCAGGAGACTCCCCGCACAGCGCTCCCTCCTTGCCCACACTGGTGGAGCCCTGCAGTTTCATGGGTGCTTCCTGCACCAGTTGGCTGAAGGCTGCCCAGAGGATTCTAGGGTGGGAAGGGGCAGGGTGGCACTCACCTGGCCAGGTTCACCATGGGCTCCAGGATGTTGTGACCCAGGAAAGCGCTACACTCTCCAAAGGAGATCCCCAGCTCCTGCAGGCCAGACAGAGAGAGTGTGGGTGCCTTGGAGGAGACTACTAGGGTAGAGGCAGCAGCCCCTCCCCCACCACCACCAAAACCTGGCCATCAGACAGAGTCCCACCCAGTAGGTCCCTCGGCCAACCGCAAAGGGTGGGGCAGCCCCATCTCCGCGTAGCCCGTGGTCCCCCGCCTCGCCCCTCTGCCCCACTGCCTCCCCGCCCTGGCCGGCCAAGGTGTCAAAGATGACATCCTGGAAACATTCTATAGACTTCAAAGCGACAGTGGGAAGCCTGCGTCCCAACTTGGAGAAATGTCCTTAATATTGTTAAACCATTTGTTATGCTTTTTTTGATTTCAAAAATATTTAATTGGGGGATATAGTAGAAAATACAGCATAACAAAGTACAAAATATAAACCATTCCTGTTAGCATATATATGTCCTTTCTGTTTTATATAACCCTTTTATCAAGGGGATGAGGGATAGGCTAAACGTCGGCATACTGTTAGGGTAAGGCAATGAAACCGCCGGTTTGGCAGGCCCCACACAGTCAGGTGTCGGCGCTCTCACAGGGACCCGCCTAACCTGCGCCCAGATCTGCAGCTGCTTTTCTGACTTCACAGTATAGTGTAAGCACTTCTTCCACACTCTTAAATATTTTCCCAAGACAGGATTCTTAATGGTAAATGCTAGCCTCTCACATGAACCTCCACAATTTAACCGCCAACTGCGGTCAAATGTTGGTCCTTATAAACACTACGGTAAAGAACATCCTCATATAAACATGTCTGATTATACACTGCACACAGGTATCCATTACGTTATTCTCCAGGGATTGTTATTTCTGTGTCTTTCAGGATAAATTGCTAGAAGAGGAATTACTATGTCAAAGAGATGAGGTACTATTTTTAAGAGGAAAAAATTCCCGCCAAGCAGGCGCCACAGCGATGACCTCATGAGTATGAGAAATGAGAGGAGGAACGGGAAGGCTGCACAGTGTGAAAATGCCGACAGAAGTTGTTCCGAGGCAGGCAAGCAGTAGATTCTTTTTTCTTTTCCTTTATTATTTTCCAGATCTTCTGGAATGTGGTCAAAATCTATTCATAAATAAATAGTGTCCACTGTCTGGTGGTTGGGCTTTTGATGTTAATCTTCCTGGGGAAGAATTTGAGTCTTAAAATAGATTAAATTAGAAGGAATGTTATGTTAATTAGAGACCAGAGATAAAATTAAGATTTGATTGGGAATTTTAAGTGAAGCTTTGAAAAATCTTTTTACTCTGGAGATATTTTCTATGTAGGTCAGGACACAGGGCGGGGATCTGCAGATTCAGCAGTGAGGTTCAGTCACACCCATGCCTGGGTCTCAGCCTGAGGTGGGTGGGAGGCAGAGGTGGCCAGGTTGCGTCCACTCTGACCTGGACTTTGGCTGGGGTGATGTACTCCCTGCCCTCTGGGCAAGACGGAGGGGCGGGGGCGTCGGCCCAGTCCAGGCTGGTGGAGAGGCTGACACCCAGTTGCTCACCTCGGCCAGTTGCTGCCCAGCCTCAGTGGACACCTGCCGTTCCTTGTCACAATCCATCTTGTTTCCCAAGAGAAGGATGACCACTCCATCGGACGCTGAGTCCTGCACACAGAGCACGTTCCCTCAGCTGCACATGCTGAGTGCCCATCATGGGCCAGGCCCTGGCAAATTTGGCCCTGATCTCCAGGAAACTGTCAGGGTGCCTCCTCCCCCGACACATGCCCGCCTTCCCAGTCACACCCACTCCACACCCTTCCCGCCCTGACACTTCCCCTCCGTCTGCAGGCTGCTCCTCCTCTCTGCCTGCACACATGTCACCCTCTTCCCAAGGCTAACTGCAAAGGTACCTCCCCCAGGAAGCCTCCATGGATTGATCCTGCCCATGCCCCTCTCCTCCTGTCTGTGCTCAACAGTCCAGCGCTTGATTACACAAGATGCCTTAGCTCATTTCCTAATTGTTTCATGAAGAATAATAATAACAGCTTTTGTTTACTGAGTGCCTACTAAACACTGCGTGCTGTGCTGAAGGGAATTATATCAGTTAATCCTCACAACTCTATGAGAGAAGTTGACAAATTGAAGTTCAGAGAGGCTAAGTCACTTGTGCAGAGTCACAGAGTTGGGGTAAGATAGTTGGGTCCTGTCTGACCCCAGAGCTCAGCTGCCCTTATATATGACCTCATCCTACGTCTTTTGCACCTATTCAACTAGACTAGAAAGTTCTAGAAAGAAGACATGTCTTACTTCATATCCCTCTGTTGTGCCAATACATACTGCATAATTTCAGCATATATATATTCAGTATGTAAGGGAAAGAACTAGAGATGTGTAGAGGAATTATCCCCTAGAGTGGTACTAGAGTTGCATTATCCCCAGGTGTTAAGAAGACATCACAGAGCTGTTGTATGGAGGGAAGAAATGCTCACAGGATAAAGGAATAAGTTTGTTTTGGAGGCTATACCTGTGCGGTTGTGGTTCCTTTGCACTACTCCCAGCCCATCCAGCCCCATGCCCTCAGTGAACTGTGTCACCTAACTGTCTGTTGTATTCTTTATAATCCTGGGAAAAAAGGCAGAGTTGGCAGGATATAAGTTCCCTCTTGACTCCAGAAGCTGGGGTAAACCTCAGCAACCATCTGCTCACCTGGAGACAGTCCACCCAGTAGCGCACGTGGGCAAAGCTCTCCTGGGACGTGACATCGTACATGAGCACCACTCCATCAGCCTTGCGGAGCAGCTGCCGTGTTATGCTGTGGTACCTGCCCAGGGAGTCTGCGTGAGGCCAGGCCTCTGGGCTCCACCCCTGGCCCCGGCCGCTGGAGGCCTCAGCCGCTCCATTGGCAAAGAGGGAGAATTAACCTTTCCTGCTTCTGGCTATTTCCCAGAGAGAATGTGCATATGCTTTCCTTCTTACAGTGTAGTTATTGATGAACAGGTAGCAGTTCTCATGGCTCAAATTTCAAAAGGTACCAAAGGGCACCCAGTGAAAAGCCTCCCACCCCATTCTGCAGCCACTCAGTCCCCCACCCCCAGAGGCAACCAGGGTCACCAGTTTCTTAAATATTTTTCCAGAAGTATTTTATGACTATAGGTAATGTGTATGCATACACACATATCTATACACACATACACACACCTACCCTTCGCCCTGATTAACACAAGTACAGTATAAAATATTCACTGTACTCATTAGTATTTAGTAATCTATATTTTGTTTTTTCTAGTCAAAACCTTGGAGGTATTTCCCTGTCGGTATATAAAGAGGATCCTCAAGTCTTTTTTGTGGTTTCATAATATTCTATTGTGTGGATAGACTCTGACCTATTTCACAGGTCTGCTATTGATGATATTTAGGTTGTTTCCAGTGCTTTGTAATATAAACGCTGCTTTGAACTGTCTTGGTCCCTTTGAGCTCATCACCACGTATGAGTTTATCAGAAGAAGGAATTTGTAGAAGTAGAACTGCTGGGTCAAGCAAGAAATGCCTTTAAAGTTTTGATCACTGCTGCCTAACTGGAAAGTGGAAGGCCCGTGTTTTCAGAAGGACAGGCAACGGGGTGGCTGTCCCCGAGGGCCATGGAGGAGTGACCCTCACAGATGTCCTGCCAGGCTGAGGGGCTTCTGGATGTGCTGCCCCATCTTCCCCCTGGGCCTTGACTCACCCCCCGTCCCCTGCCCTGCGCCCAGCCTCCTGAATCCTCCAGGGGCAGATGTCTCTTTTGCAGTTGGTGGCCTGTTACCCACGTCGGACTCCTCAGGGTTGGGGCTGCCCTCCACCCCTCGCACCCAGGCTCAGCCACTAATGTAAACAACGTCCATTACCTCTCCTGGCCAGCCGTGTCCCAGAGCTGCAGTGCATAGCACTTGTTGTCCACCAGCAGTTTTTTGACCCGATAATCCACTCCTAGGACATGCAGAGAAGGGTTAGATCTACTTTTAAGTTATCATCCCATACTTCTTGCCAAGGCTGGCCCAGATACGCACCTGTCCCCAACACCGACCCCAGGGGATGGAAACCTTCAGCTGCTGGGCTTCCCTTCTGCTCCCCAAATCCCATCCATACTCAGGGGCCCATGTCTTCCCAAAAGCCTCGCCTGAGCAGCCCACGGGGCCCACTGTGCTTGCTGCATCCGTGCCAACACAGGGAAGCTTTCACTGTTTTGACCTATATTAACATATGTGTCTTCCCAACTGCACAGCAAAGTTTATTCCTCAGTCCAGTCGGGAAAATCTGTTTTATTATTTAACTTTTATAATACTTGTTTCATAATCTAATTATGGCACGCATCCTCCCACTTCAACTGGACAGCGTGGTAGAGAGGTAGCTTAGGAGACGGAAGGATGGAAGGAGCGCTGGCTTCAGAGGTGACTGATTGGGCTGAGGTGCCCACCCTCTGCCACCCTACCAGCTGTGCGACCTCAGGCAAATTGCCTCACCTCTCTGAGCCTCCCTTCCTCATCTGCAAGGTGGCAATTTAAAAAGACCCATGTTGCAGGGTGATTGAGAAGATTAAATGGCTTATGAGCAAGGTTTATAGCCTAGTTTCTGGGAGTGGGGAGGCGCTTGGGAGGTGGTCATTTTTATCATCATTATTAATTCTCATCTCTCTGAACCCTGGCCTCTTGAATTGTACAGCCCCAGCGCTGCCTGTGGTCATGGTTCCAGGCTCTTTCTGGAAATACGGAGGTAATGGTGAATCCCAGGGAGGCTGGGAATCTTTGGGATGCACTTTCCAGCCAACCTCTACTTCCAAAGGAAGCTATGGGGGGTGGGAGAGGAAGGGGAGGGGCTTCTTTGTCCCCTCCCCACCCCCTTTCCTAACGGAGCCCTAAAGCTGCAGAGCCCACGGTGGGCCCCACGGCAGCCTGGAAAGGTGTGTCTTCTCCTATTAGCCTTGAGCTGGCAGAGACTTTGTGTCCTCACGCTGTCTCCCAAAACGTGTTATTACAACATCACCATATAAACTGTTGGTAATACAATGTTTCCTCCATCCCAAGGAATCTGCTCTCTTACATGAGCAGCCTCAGGGAGAGAGCAACACTGAACCAAAAAGAGGGTAAAACTTCCACTGTGGGGGCTTGTGCTTGGAAATCAAGCGACCCTGGCTGGGTGTGAACTCTGGGGACCCGCTAGAGCAAGAAACTGAAGCAGGTCTTCAATTCCCTGTTTTTTTAATCTGAAAAATGAGGATAGATATGGAAAAGCCTGGCAAAAATGCACATTGAGATATAGCTCAGGTGGCTCTGGCCCTGGTCCTCCGCCCAGCCCTGTGCCCACACGCAGACAGGCCACAGTGCTCATCCTCTGTGAGAGGGGATGGGAGTGAGCAGGGCGGCCCTGAGTGGGCAAATACTCCTCACTGGAGAAGCCAGAATTGTCCCCAGCGGTAGTTAAGACAGACGGGTAATAGCCGCTGATTATGAGACCACAGCTGGGACTAGGACAGGCCTGGATCACACAGCTGGATCTCGGGCACTCGCAGCTCTCTAACGGTGGGTGTGGGCTAGCCCTGTCTTTTTACAATTATGCAATCTGTTTTGTTTTTTTTTTAATTGAACTTTCTCAAAACTTCTTACTACATAACAATGGGGGAGCCTCGGTTATAGGCGGACTGTTCTAAGATGCCTGGTGCATTGTAGGTGGTCAGTAACCAGTAGCTTAGGCAATTAGTAATGGTGGCACCGCAGGCCCTGACACCGGCTCGACCTCAGGCCAGGCCTGCTGGGGGTTCCCCACTTCCAATGACCGCATTTTTAACTGGCTTCTCGGGTGGGGATCCTCAAGCAGAGAAACATTCAAGAACTTGTCCTGGAGCCTCTCTTGCCCATGGGCTGTCATTCACCCACTGGTCTGGCACTGGTCCCCACTGGGCATGCACCCTGACTGACACAAAGGTGTGGATCACTCCTTCTCCGTCCTTAGGCAGGTTTCCGCTTCATTCCCATGAGCTTGCTCTCTGTGCTTCTACGCAGCATTCGAGTTGCCGCATATCCCAATACGTTTAGGGAGACGAAACTCTGTTTTTGTACATTTCATTGGCAGGAGACACGGAATTAGACATCATCAAATATTTCCTTATATTAACAACAGTAAAAATAACAAATATTTATTGACACTTACAATGTGCCAGATATTATTCTAAGAGCTTGATGCATGCTAACTGAACTAACTCTTAAAGCCACTCTAGAAAGTCAGCGCTCCTGTTGTTTCCATTATGCAGATGAGGATTTAGGGGCTCAGAAGGGTTAAATAATGTGTCCAAGTTCATATGGCTAGTAAGTGGCAGAACGGGATTTGAACTCAGGCACTCAGGTTCCTAACTTACCATACTCTACACATACTCTACACATAATAAAACATTCAACTTGCCCAAGGCAACTTCCTGCCAGAGCTTGGCTGGCTGGCCTGTGGCTGGTCATGACCACATCCAACCAGTGAGGACCCTGCAGTGGCCTGCCCCCAGGCCATGTGGGTGGAGACTTTTGGGTGTTCATCATCAACCAGCACTGGCACCTAAATTGCAGGGTGCTTCATTGATGTGGCATATTATAAGCTAATCAGATCAATGAAGAAAAATCAAATTGCTTGTAATTAGAGATGATGAGTACAATATTAAGAGTTTGCCCATATAAAATACTATCTGCTGCGGGGCCCGTGGCCAGGACAAAACCTGCAGCTTCTCCAGGGATGGCTTGCTAGGGGCCTGCTCCGGCTTGTTGCCTGGGGCCCCTGGTTCTCTCCCTCCTCCCCAGAAGGGCCCTTACCCACAGTAGCTGTCAGCCCAGTGGTGAAGGTGTTCTGGTGCAGAAGGTGCAGGAAGGATGTTTTGCCCACGTTGGAGTCTCCCAGGAAGATGACATGGAAGAGGTAATCAGGGTCGGCTGGAGGCTCGCTGTCTGTGGGGTCCCCTGGGGTTGGGTTTAGCCCAGTCTCCCCAGAGTCCATTCCCAGGTCTTCAGGCCTGTTCTCTGCCCTTGGCTCCCTGGATTGTAGAGGCCCTTGTCCTCCCTCCGTTTGAGCAGTTGCGGGTGGAGGTCCAGGTTGGGCTTCCAGGACGGCCACAGAGGGCAGGGTTTTTGTGGGCTGCGGGGGCGCTGTTTCAACCTTAGGCTGAGCCCCCCTAGCAGGAGACCCCCTCGGAGGTGATGGTTTTCCAGGAGCAGGGGCTTCAGCCTCAGCCTGAGCCTGCAGTGTGTCACGTGGGAGAGGAGTAGGCAGGGAATCTCGCTGGGGCTGTTCTGAATGCCCAGTTCTCAGGCCCTGAGCCTCACTGGGCTGCTCTGAACTGAGGCCTTGCCCTCCTTGGCCCGCCTGCTTCCACTCCTCAGCCCTGGGCTCCTCTTCCAGGCGCTGCTGGGGGAGGGCAAGCAGCTCATCTGGCTGGACCTGGCTATGAGCTTCCCTTAGTTCCCCAAGATGACTCTCCTGCACATCTGGGCCCAGCCCGCCCTGCTCTGATCCCTCTGTGGGAGCCTGAGTCATACGTCCCAGACCCTGGGAGGGCTTGGCCAGCCCTGCTGTGAGGACTCCTGCTCCTGGGGACGCCAGTCCTGGCTCAGACCCAGCGGCGGGGTGGTCCTGATGGAGGGCCTCTCTCTGCCTGGGTGGCTGGGCTAGGACAGGCCCAGTCCAGGAGTCCTTATCATCTGGGTAGGAGGCCTGGAACTGTTTGCTGGGCCCTGTGGGCGCCTCAGAAGGGGGAGAGGCCACCTGGAGAGGGCTTCCGTCCTCCAAAGGAATAAGCACTTTGAGTGCAGATGCCACCAGGCTCCCTGACTCCCCACTCAGGGCCCTGGGGAGGCCCCAGAGGAAGTGGGCTTCAGGGCCAGCCTCTGACTCCTCCTTAGGTTGCTCACTGTGAAGCTCAACAGGCCGCTCTGGACTGAGGGCCTGCCCATCTGGGTCCACTTCTTTTCCTTCCTGGGCCCTGGAAAACACCCCAGGGGGACTCCTTGGAGCCTCCTTCGCATCTGAAGATGGCTCCTGACCAAACAGGAAACCATGGGGCTCTGAGATGGAGATCTGCCTGACAACTCGGGGTGTCTGGGGAGCTGAGGAGGCTTTGGGGGTTGGAGGTGGGCTCCAGCACAGCTGCAGGGCTCCGTGCGGGGGGCTGTTGAAGCCGCTCAGGAGCTGGTCCCAGTCGTCGTCGTTCCCAAACAGTCCGGGCAGCGGCTCCTCTTCAGGGGAGGCTACTTGAGGGTCAGGAGCCTTCTCCTCACCTGCTCTGGGGACACTAGAAAGGGTGCGGGGAGCCCAGGTCAGGGGAGGGGCAGGTAGGTGTCACGCCAATCCCGCCTCCCTCCCTCACTGTCCGTTGCACACCTCACGGCTGGCCCTCCCTCCCGGTCTTTGCTCAGGGAGCTCTTCTCACCGGGCATGCACTTCCCGCTTCCCCGCTCATGTAATCCTGCTCATCCTTCAAGGCCTGTGTGAAGATCTACCCCCTCCAGGAAGCCTTCCCTGACCATTTTGGCCCATCCCACTCCCCCGAGCTGTAACAGCCAGAGTGAATGCCTACCTGGGATCTAGCACTGCACAGGACCTGTGTGTGTGTTCATGTGTTTGAATCCCAGTTGTGTGATCTTGGGCACATGACCTTTCCCTCTCTGTTCCTCAGTGTCCTTGTCTGAGAAATGGGCATGATAACCTCAGCCCGGCAATGTTGTTGTGAGGTATACAGAGGGGCACTATGTGTTCTGGGGGGCTGACCAGAGCCTCAGAGGACTCAGAGCTTCCCTCCTCTCTTCCAAGAAGCCCCTGGTGTCTACCCCAGCCCAAGGTGGCACCGCTTGCCTTGGTTCCTCCTCCATCTGCCAGGACACGTAGCTCCTGGTGATGTTCAGCTGCCCCTTGGTCACCTGCAGTTGTTCCCGCACTTCCTCCAGCTGCCCAGCCAAGTCGTGCTGGGCCTCCCGGAGCTGCCGGTTCTCCACGTTGGCCTCCTGGTGCGTGCTGCTGAGGTGGCGCAGCTTGGCCTCCAGCTGCAGGAGGTGGACGGTGAGGAGGAGAGAAGCCTAGCTGCCCCCCAGGGCAACAAACAGCCTCCCAAGGCCACTGTGGGGCACAGACTGCAGGCTTCTGGAGAGCCGGCTTAAAACAGGATTGGAGGGGTTACCACTCACGGGCCTAATTAGCTCCATGACCTCCCACCCAGGAGAGACATTTGAATTGTCGCGGTAGAGAGGAGAGAGGGAAGTATGTGAGAAGCATAAATGGGGTCACAGCCTCCTCTGCTCAAAGCTCCTCCATGGCTGCTCACCTCTGAGCCCCGCTGGGTCTGCGGGGAGCTCCTGAGGCAGCAGTAAGTCCCATGGCTTGGAGAGGGAGAGCTGCCTGACCGTGCGGGGTGGGAGGCAAAGCCCTCACAATGGCCTCCGGGGCCCTGCACAGATTCCCCCTCGACCCCGGTTACACCACGGACCTGCTCCCTCACCAACTCTCCCCTCCCTCCACTCCAGCCCGCAGAGCTCCTTGCTGCTCCTGGAACATTCACAGCACATGCCTACCTCGGGGCGCTGGCACTCAAGGTTCCCTGGCACTCACATGGCCCACCCCTCACCTCCTTCAGGTCACTGCTCCAATATCATCGCCTCAGTGAGGCCTTCCTTGACACCCCTATCAAAACCCTTCTATCCCCCCGCCCTGCTTTACTTTGTTCTCCTTAGCACTTCTGTTACCTAACATGTTACCTAACATATTGCTTAATGCTATCATCGTCTCCCTGACTGAACGATAGCTCCATGGGCAGAGGCTTGTCTGTCATGTTTGTCAGAACCTAGAACTGTGCCTGGTATGCAGTAGGTGTGTCCTAAATAGTAGTTGGGTGAAGGAATGGAGTGCCTGGGGAAGAGCTCCAGGTCCACAGGGGACAAGACAAAATGGCCCCTCGTGGAAAGTCTGACCACCTCCCTCAGCAGAAGGGGCCTAACTGTTTCCAAAGAGCAGCTGCTTCAGAGGCACCTGCGAGGCCAACCCAGGTCGGGAGGACTAGACCAGGCGACAGGGACAGCCAAGGCAACGGCAGGGAAGGCTCTGGGAACCTACCCAGTGCTGAAGGGGTGCTGGTGTCCTGGTTACCACAGATGGTGGTTTTACTGAGGTCAGTGGTTTGGAGGTTGAGGAAGGAAGAGGCAGTGGGGCAGGGGCTCAGACGGAAAGACTTTTAGCCACAGCGCCAGCTGGAAGTGACCAGAGGCTTCCAGACCTGAGGGGTCAGGGCAGCAGATACGCTGACCAGAAAGCCAGGCCAGATTCGGAGACAGTAACGACTGTGATGTACAAAGCACCAGCCCCATCCAGGCCCTCCTCGTACCGCTTAGTACCTCTAATCATCACAGCCGTTTTCTAAGGCAAGAATTCTAAACCCCACATCTCTGATGAGGAAGCCAAGGCTCAGGGAGGTTGAAAACCTGCCCAGGTCACTCAGCTGGCAATGGGGATGAGAGCTGGACACCACCCCGCCGCCAAGCCTCCCCAGCATTGAGACTTCGTGTTTGCCCAGCACTTTCCTGTTTCACAGCGCTTCCCCTTTATTACCTCATTTTACACACCAGCTTTGCAGGTGCAGTTGGTGTGGCTGGTCCCATTTTACAGATGGAGAAACTAAAGCCAAGACAGGGAAAGTTATTTCCTCAAGTTTGCATGGCTCTTCATTGGAACCACAGGGATTTGAACCTAGGCCTTCTGGCTCTTGACCCAGTGTTCCCATTACTCTACCTGGCCTCATCTCAGAAAAGGGCCCACGACACCTCTTTCCCAAGGGGCCTCTCTCATATGGGAGCCCAACCAGCCCAGGGCATCCTCAGAGGACGGGTGTCAGAGTCTGTGAATCTTCAGAAACTGGGCTCCCGGGAGGCCCCGCCACTCACCTCCTTCTGGCCCTCAGCCAGCTGCTGCACCTCGCGCTCCTTGGCCTCCAGGACCTCCTGCATCTGGGAGCTGAGGGCCAGGTCCCGAGACTCACTCTGGGAAGCAGAGGGGCCTCAGACCCTGCATTGCAGAATCTAAGACCCAGCCAGGCTGCCGGGTCTAAGACCCCCCCACCCCACATTTCACCTCCACCTGGGCCCCGGTGCAGGGTCTCAGCAAGGAGGGCTCTCAGCACAACTCCCCTAGCTCAGACCTGGATTTTGGCAACAAGGAAACTGAGGCCCAGAGAGCAGAAGGACTGGTTCCAGGGGACACAGGTAGCTCCAGCAGGGAGGGGCAGGGGGCTTGGCACTCCTCGCTCTGTCTCTCTGGTCGGGGGAGGGAGAGGGTTTACTCCCAGCAACTTCCTGCTACCCCACAGCAGGCCAGGCCGGGCAGGCAGAGGAGTCCCGTGGTGGGGGGGGGGGTCGGGGCGGGGAGCAGGGGGAGGGCAGGCTGCCGGGGAGCCCACCTCGGCCTGCAACTGCTGCTTCTCCTGACGGATCTGCTGCTCCATCTCCTCGTACAGCTGCTGGACCTCACGATGATGGTCCGAGTCCCGCCTGGAAGGGGTGGGAGGTGGCCAGGCAGCCTGTCAGTGCCCAGGCCCCTGATGCTAGCAGAGGTGGTCTGGACCTGGTTTGAAGCTCATCCTACAGCTTGTCTCACTCGGTCAGTGATCACCCCTGTCGCAGTTATCACAATAACAGCCTGCGACCCATGCGCCCTTGACGTCAGGCACCTTGATCCCATCACGCTGACTCCTGTAGCCGTCGCCAAGATATTAGTTCCCCTGGCCTAATATCGCTTCACACTCTGTCCCCACTTCCTGCTGTCACCATCCCCCTACCTCCATAACTCAGACCCCCTGCAGGGCTGTGCCCACGCCAACCCAAGGGTCACCACACACATTGTCATCTGCATGAGCAGTGCTCCTGGAGTTGGGCGCAACAGTGGCCCTGCTCCAAGACACACTGGACATTCCCACTCTCGATAAAGGCCCAACTCTTTCCTCCCTAAAGTTCCCTAAGTCACCCTTTCTTCCAGAACTCAATTAAGAATCAACTAAAATGTAAAGAGCCGCCACTACATGCCAGCCATCGAGTGGGCGAGAACCACCAGCCCCCACTCACTTCCTCAGGGTCAGCTCCAGAACCTCCCTATCTGCCTGTGCCTCCTGCAGGCGGCTGGTCATCTTGGCCAGGAAGCCCTCCAGGTTGCCCGCCAGCTGGGGCTCCTCCTGCCTCAGCTTCCACCACAGCTGCCAGAGCTCTGCCGGCCTGGGGAGGGGAGGAGAGCCAGGGACTAGATGTGAGGGGAACCAGGAAGCCGAGGGAGCCCCAGGCCTCCGTATTAACGGCAGCGCTCCAGGAGACTTGGGCACCTGAGTTACAAAAATCTATGGACCCCTGCAGGTGCAATCAAGTGTCACCTCCTCCAGGAATCTTTCCCAGATGTGCCCGCTCCCTTCCTGAACCCCGACAACACTTTGTGTCTCTGTAGTTTGGTGATCAGTTGTGGAGAGGGGGGCTTGGGAGCCTGACAGCCCAGACCTTCCATCTGACTTCTCCCTTCTCCCTCTCTCTAGCTGTGACCTTTGGGAAGTACCGTGCCCTCTCTGGGCTTATTTGTAAAACAGGGAGGCTGATACCTGCCCAGCAAGTTCTCCAGGGAATGAGACACACCCAGTGAAAGCACCCGCTGGGCACCTGGCACAGGGTTGGCTTTCACACGGATTTCATTAAGTCGTGAAGACAAAAAGATGCCAGAGGGCTGAGCCCAAGTCAAGCTGCCAAGTGGGTAAATGGCTCCCCACCACACCTGCCCCGCCAGCCTGTCCTCTATGTCCCACCCTGCCTGTCCCACAACACTGGGCCTCTGGCAGCTTGCCTCACAGAGCCCCAGGGGAGGTCGCTCACCTTGTTGGCTCTGACAGCCCTGGTGGAAGATGGGGTGTGGGGGAGGGGCATTTTTAAGCAGGGCCCCTCTTCTCTGAACACAGGTGAACCTCACAAATCCAGAGCCTGAGGCAGTTTGGAGAAAATGCCCTCCTGTCTCCAAACCCACCCAACCCAGGACATCACCATCCTGACATCATCCATTTTGGGGGTTAAGAAAGACACCCTCAGGATGTGAGTGCCCTTGGGAGGCTGACAGCAAGCTTGATAATCCTCCTGAGGAGAGATCGTATAGGGCAGGATGAGGAGGGAGGGCCTGAAGGGGTCCGCGCCCCTGAGCAGGCATCTCCACTCATGGCTTTGTCTATCCCACAGCTCTTTACGTTCACTCTGCAGCCAGGAAAACAGAGGTCAGAGGTGAAGCCACTTGTCCCAGGTCACACAGCTAACAAGTGGCCAAACCAGAATTCCCACGCAGCTCTGCCTGGTGACCTCCAACCTTGGCATTCTGTCCAGGCGAGTCCCTAGTCCTCGCCTACACTGACTGACAGCGCCTGTTCTGCCCCCCGCCTCACCCCGCCCCCCACCGCCCCGCGCGCGCGCGCGCGCGCGCACACACACACGCGCGCGCGCACACACACACACACACACTCAGCTGGTCTTACTCAGGAAGTAAGTGGCCAGCCCCCAGCTGCTCCGTGAGGGCAAAGAATGCCTCCTTCTCTTCTGCATCAGCCTCCTCCAGCACCGGGAAGCTGCCGGCCGCAGATCCTCGCTTGGAGGACAGTGGCCTCCTTCTGTGGAGCCTGTGGGTGCTCAGGCTGGAGCCAAAGATTCTCTCTGTGGGACAGAGGGGAACAGAAAGGAGCAGAGTGGGGTAGGGCTCAGCCCCTGACCTCCCACCTTGCCCTTCTCCAGTCCTTGGGGAAATAATTATATCTGTTTTGGTCACTTTTATACAGAGCCATGTTCATACATTCCTCACATCAACCTTGGGAATCTACTGAAGGTAGGCACTGTGCTCACTTTGCAGATGACCATATATGGTCCAGAGAGGCCAAAGACTTGCTGAAAGTCACACAGCAGCTCCGCAGTGGGGAACACATTTTTCACTCACCCAGAATAGTTACTGAGCATCTACTATATACTGGGGACAAAATTGGCCAAAATTCTTGCCCTAGTAGAACAGACATTGTAGTGAGTATTGAAAAGGATACTTTAAAAAAAAAAAGTTAATTTACTAAGTGAACTAAAGGAATAAACAGGGTAATTTCCAGTGAAAGACTGGACAGGGGCTACTTTAGAATGAATAGTCAGGAATGCCCCAAGGAAGTACCATTGGAACTAGGACAAGAATAACAAGAAGGAGAAAGCCATGTGGATTTCTAGGGAAACATATTCTAGGCAGAGAGAACAGCACATGCAAAGGCCCTGTGGTAGGAAACAGATTGGCACACTGGAGGATGCAAGTGGCACTGAGCGAGCCCAAGAGGTTGGCAGAGTCTGGATGGTGCTGCCCCGTGGGCCACAGGAAGGGGTTTAGATTTTGCCCCACAGGCATTGGGAAGTCCCTGGTGTGGTGGGCATGATTGGATACAGACATGGAGATGGCCCTTGGAGGCGCATGGACAACAATGTTCCCTCTGCCCCCAACCCCAATTCCAGGCCTCAATTTCTCCTCCTTGCTCCCAGCTTCTCAATCACCAGAACCAGAGTAACTACCTCCTGGGCAGCCTCGCCCTATAAACGCAGATTCCTGGCCTCCCTCCCTGTTGTCCCCCAAACTTGTGGGGACTCAGAAGACCTGAGAACTCTAGACGGGTATGCATTAATACAATGCTGGGTTGTGCTTTGCAAGGTCTCTGCAAAGATACCACACCTTCCATGCCCTGAGCCAGAAGGTCTTCCCCATTGAGAGGATCAGTGGAAATACTGTTTACTACTGGTCTTGCTCTCTTCAGGTCCATTGGGCCTGTCTCAAGGAGCAGGTGTTGAAGTAACCCTGCCCAGTGAGGACTAAGGGCCTGGGAAGCACCCACTCACTAAATATCACCCTTTGCTGCTCCCTGGGACCAAAAATTCCCTTAACCAACACCAGAATGTGAACTTCCTCAGAAAGAAACAAGGCCCATGGTCTCAAGAATGGGAGGTGCTTCACGTCTTGCTCAAGGGAAGACTTTTGCTGGGGAGAAAACAAGGGAGGCATCAGAAAGCAAGCCTGGAGGCCTCGTTAGAGGAGGGGAATGCTCAGGGGATCCCCCAGCCAATGAACTGCTCTGGCTGGTGGAAGAGGAGGTGATCAGACCCCCTGGGCTAGAGTCTTAAGGCCCAAACCATCCTCCTTCCCACCGCGGCTTAGTGTTCTCATCTCCACAGTGATCAGGATTATCATCCACAGCCTGAACTCTCTCACGGTGTGTGATGGTCCCCTGGTTGGTAAGATGTCACTGTTGCCTTTGCTGTCAGCCGAGCCTTGCCCCATGCCGGGCACAATGCATGGGATGCCTGGCTGTGCAGCAAGCCCCCAGGGGCCCTCCCGGGATAGACATACTGAGCCCAGAACTGAATTCTTCAAGGGAGAGGTGTCCCTTCCGCTCCACATCCACCCAGTCAAAGATCATCTCCGGCTCCTCCTCACCGCTCAGGAAGCTGAACTTGGCCACCTGCAAGGAAGGAGTAGGTTGGGTGCTGTTCCCACTAGTGAAGGCTCTGGGCCACCCTCAAAAAACAGAAGGTGTTTGTCTTCAGCCACCCGCACGTCCCCCACCCCAATTCCGGGGTCCCATAGCCTACCTGAGCCAGAGCCTGCCCCTGAGACTCCCGGGTCCCATGTGAGACAGAGCCTTGAACCTCCTCCATACCTTTTCCCTTCCTCCATCCAACATCAGCAATTACCTGCTCTGAATCTCATCCCTTTAGGACCCTAACAGAGGACAGTAATGAATCCTCCTCAGACTGTGTTTATCGGTGTCCAAAAATTATCTGGAACTTGAAAATAAGCCCAAAAGGTGGACAGCACATCCTTTCAGTATTCTGCAGGTGCAAAAGCCACCTGAGCATCATCTAGGCTGTAGGAATGTACCTAATTCACCCCATGGGGCTGATGAGAGGTCCCAGACTAAATAAAGTCACAGGTTGACATGTAGGTTTTGTCCAGGAGAGATGTAAATAATTTTCATCTGATGGAACAGATAATCCCAAATATTTATGGATTTATTTACAGTTTTGGAGGTTCAATGGAGATGTCCCAGTGGACTCAGCTGTCAGAGCCAAGTAAACTGCATTGGGGAGAAGTGAACCCAGTGCCTTATCGGTGCTTGGAGGGAATCCTAAGTGTAACAGAACATTAACTTTGCTGACTTTATTTTTCTAGGGTTTTTTTTTTCTTTTTCTTTTTGCTGAATTTGTGTTCTGGTTTTTGGTGGCAGCAATGATTTCATGGACTGATTGTTCCGTGATGTCTTTGGCCTACATGATGGAAACCCTTGAAAAACAACAGAAAATCTGATTTGCTAATCTTTTGTTGTTGGTGGTACTGTTTGTTTTTCTGCGTGTGACCTCCAATTAGTTAAGAATTTTGTACCCACTGGGAAGGAGAACAGCTCTTTGAGATCTGGACTGGTGAGTTTTTTTTTTGTTTCTGTGTTGACTTTTGATCTATGTCTGGAGTTACAGAAATAAAGCCAGGCTCCCTCTATGTCTGTGTGTCTACATGTCTGTAATTCAGAAAGGCCTTTAACTCTTATTATGCATGTGAAATAGCTTTCTACATCTGGAGGGTATTAATAGTTTAGAGTCCTATGTCTCTTCTGGGGGTTCTGCATTGATTGGTTTATAGAGACAAATAAGTGCTTGCATAGATCTAATGTTTCCCCAAGTCACAGAAAATAAAGAATGCTTTAAATGTGCTAATTTTTTTCAGTCCCTCTTACAATAAATTATTAGCTCAGAAAACTTGTAAGGAGCCAGAAACTATAAGCAGCCTCTGGGGCAACTTCAAGCGTTCCGATATTTGCATCATAGGGGTGCCAGAGGAGAAGAGGAAGAGCAAGAAATTGGAAATCTATTTGAAAAATAATGAAATAAAACTTCCCTAATTTGGTGAAGGAAATAGACATGCAAGTCCAGGAAGTACAGAGAGTCTCAGACAAGATGTACTCAAAGATGCCCACTCCAAGACACACTGTAATTAAAATGACAAATGTTAAAGACAAAGAGAGACCCTTAAAAGCAGCAAGAGAAAAGCAGTTACCTACAGGGGAGTTCCCATAAGACTGTCAGCTGATTCCTCAGAAGAAATTTTGCAAACTAGAAAGGATTGGCAAGAAAAATTCAAAGTCACGAAAAGCAGGGACGTACAGCCTAAATTGCTCTATCCAGCAAAGCTATCATTTAGAACCGAAGGGCAGACAAAGCACTTCCCAGACAAGAAAAAAATTAAAGGAGTTTATCATCACCAAACCAATATTATATGAAATGTTAAAGGGATTTATCTAAGAAAAAGAGGTTCAAAACTATGAACAGTAAAATTGCAATAAATACATATCTATCAATAATTGAATCTAAAAAACAAATTAAGCAAAGAAGAAGAACAGAGACAATCATAGATAGAGAGCATTTTGATGGTTGCCAGATGGGAGGGCGTTGTGGGGGAGAATGGGTGAAAGGCGAGGGGATTAAGAAGTACAAATAGTTACAGAACAGCCATGGGTATATAAAGTACAGTGCAGGAAATGGAGTAGCCAACGGACCTATATGCATGACACATGGACATGAACAAAGGATGGGGGGTTGCCAGGGGGCGTGGGGGTTACTGGGTGGAGGAGAGCAAAGGGGAAAAAATTGGGACAACTGTAATAGCATGAGCAACAAAATACAGTTTTTTAGAAAGTATAATACAAATATACATTTTATTTTTTATAACATCTGGATTTGGTTTTTGTAAGGAAACGAATTGATCTGAATGCCCTACACTTCTTATTGTGTCTTATTGGTCAAATTATCTGTACATAATTTAAGATTATAAAAATTTAAATTTGTGTTCAATTGAATTGATTCATTATTCTAACAAATTTTATGCTAACAGTTCTTATATTTTGTAGTATGTCACTTTAAACACGATTTGGAAGATCTTTAGTAACTTGAAAAACCTGAATTAATATTAACTTAATTAACTAAAATATAACACTGAAACTTTAAATGCCAAGCATAATTTTAAGTTTATATCTTTTTGCTTCTTGTTTTTATGTGCTGGAGAGCAGCTATATCTTTAGGTTATGTTAATGAGTAAATTAATTTTGGGCACTTCAAATAATTGTGCAAGTGAAAGCAGAAACCCAAGTAGATATTTGTACACTCACATCCGTAGCAACAATATTCACAACAGCTAAAAGATGGAAGCAACTCAAATAGATGAAATGTGGTAGATGCATACAATGAAATATTATTCAGCCTTTAAAAAGGAAGGAAATTCTGACATACACTCCAACATGGATGAACCTTGAAGACATTACGCTAAGTGAAATGAGCCAGCCACAAACAGGCAAATACTGTGCTGTATGATTCCACTTATCTGAGGGACCTACAGTAGTCAAATCATAGAGATAGAAAGTAGAATTGGGGAGATAGGAGAATGGGTGTTATTGGTTAGTGGGTATAGAGTTTCAGCTGGGGAAGATGAAGAGGTTCTGGATGTGGATGGGGGTGATGATTGCATAACAATGTGAATCATTTAATATCTGTGTACGCATAAAAGTGGTTAAAATGGTAAGTTTTATGTTAGGTATATTTCGTCACCATTTTTTTAAAGTTGTGCGAGGGATACGTAGGATGACAAAGTCATGTTATGTGTACTTGTGAGCTTTGCTAGTCTACTGAAATGCTTATATACTACAAACAGTTCACAATTATTTACCCCCCAGTTCATTCTGTGAAATGGAGGTTAATTACTTTGGTTAAAAGTTATAGTCACTACAAGTGTCTGAGGTACTAGGAATAGTGACAGAGAAATCCACTGTGTCTGCAAGAAAAATGGGATGTGTTTTTGCTTTCCAAGGGTCAAAGGAAGTGGTTTTGTCTTTAAGTGTCTGGTTGTTCCAGAACATGAAAAAATATAAAAGGCAAAACCTGAATGGGTGTAGAGAGTTCCAGGGGATTTGCTGAAGGGGAATCTTATTTGCCTTGATTTATAATACCTGAGTCTGAAAATAAGCTATGAAATTTTGACATTTTGCGAAATTTGCCTCAGTTTTGATGGGTTTAAAAATAAATTGAAAATAAAACTTGTGAAATTTTTACTGCCATGTGTTATATTAATGCAAAACTAGAATTGGGCTCCATCTCTATTAAAATGATAAATTGGTTTTAGAGCTCTTAACAAGGGTTAAAGAGAGGTTATTATTTGTCTTCTGTGTAAGTTGCCCAGATAACCGATCCCATTTCTCAACAGAATAAATCTCTCTGCTATGTTTTGGCTTTATCATTTTCTAATTTTTCCCAAAGGAAAAAAATCCAAGGTACCTCTCTTATATGAAAGAGCTAAATAGCCTTACAATGGTGTTACTTCCTCTATGTCTGTTTCAAAATATTGTATGTTATTGTCACTTTGATTAAATAGGTAACCAAGTACTATTTCTCAGGCTCTCGTGATCCTATCTTAATCTAGTGGCCAAACTTCTTTAATAGCTCTTTTGATACTGCCTTCCCAATATCAGATAGTAAGTTTAGGGGAAAAAACCCTTCGGGATATCTTCCTCTATATTCATTAAATAATTCACCTTATTATGAGAGCATCATCAGCAAGAAATAACAAGTGTTGGTGAGGATGTGGAGAGAAGGGAACAACCCCTGTGCACTTGTGGGGGGATTATGAATTGGTGCAGATACTCTGGAAAACAGTATAGCGGTTCCTCAAAAAATTAAAAATAAAACTACTGTATGATCTAGCAATTTCACATCAGGGTATTTATCTGAAAAAAATAAAAACACTAATTTGAAAAGATATATGCTCTCTCAAGTTCATTGCAGCATTATTTACAATAGCCAAGACACAGAAATGACCTAAATGTCCATCAATGGATGACTGGATAAAGATATGATATATATATATATAAATGTGATAAATAGACATATTTAAAAGTATATTTTTAAGTTTATTGAGATTAATTAATACAGTTGTGTTTAACACCTGCTTCAACAAGTTGATCATTATCAATAAAGAAAAATAATGTAATATTTGATAAGTATAAAAAATAAAAACTGAAGCTTTAATCTGTAACAAGATCTGATCTTAAGTACAGTTTGGATGCAAAACAGAAGAGAATCATAGGAAGAATTGTCAACTTAGAAAAGATATTCATCCTTTCCTAGGCAAAATTTACATAGGTAAAATGCTATTAATAGAACTATTTCAGAAGTTGCATGCTTTATGGGGTGGCCATGGAGATTTCTCAATGCCTTTGCTATTCATAATACATCCTTGTCTCCAGGGGAAACACTGGTCAAACCTTTATGAAATCGTTATGTCTCATTACTAAATAAGTTTCTACTTTGCCTGAAGGCTCCGCTAAAAGCTGCAGGCCACAGTTTGTACCTTTCACCGAGGACAGGCTGAAAGCCTGTGGAAAAGGACTGCACCAGGCTCTCTGAACTACTGGTGCTTCGCTTGGGGACAGGACGCTGAGCTGACATTAACCACCCTTCAGACTGAGCTGGAGGGCTGACAATTTGCAGGACTCTTTTGAGTTCAGAAGCAGCCAGCTCACGCAAGATCCAGCAGAACAAGGATTAATTCCATGGAACTGAATAAATGGCTCAAGGAAGCCTCATTGCGGTTTGCGTTGGGAATATAGTTGGTATTGTTTTTATTGTTCTGTTTTTGTGGATCTGTGAGAAAGTTCTTTCTCTGTCTTCTTGAGCTGTCTCTAACCTTCAGTTTAGTAGATTACAGCTTTGGTAAACTGAATCTAAACATATTAAATGGTATCTGACTCTTACCAACCCCCGACCCCAGTTCAGAAACCAATCCTTTTACCAAATCTCCTTACTTTCCATGGCAACACAGTCACTTACACAGGTCCAGTAAAAATCTGTCCTCCTTTTTGCCGAGATACAGCTAGATAAATCAGTTGTGTAACTGCAGTGTCATATTGGAGAATGATTCTCATTCAATCAGGTCTGACAAGTCCTCTGCAAGGAACAGGAGTCAACGCCTGCAAAGCCCTCTTAGGAACAAGGTGACAAGGAAGCCATTCCTGGGCAGGGGACAGACCTTAGAAAATGGGAACCTTAAAAAGAGAGGAAGTCCCTTACATTTATAGGGGCTGTGGGTAAAAGCTGGTGGGAAGAGAGTCTTGGGTTGGTTTCCTGGCCTTAGGATAGACATAGGGTGGCCAGCTTTAGCACTGAAAGTGCCACATCCAACCCAGATGCCCTTCCAACCCAGGCATACTGAGACAGACGGTCACTCTAGACAGCAGGGCAAATAACAGAGATTTCTGAAGTCTGAGACTTGGAAATAAGGTAGGTGGCACATCCTTTCAAGCAGGGTATAGACTAGAAAAATGCACTTAGGTCATCCCTTTATTTACCTTAAATTGAAAGTCCCAGACTTTCTGAAGGTACTTGTTAACTTGTAAATTTTTGTCCAGGAGAGATGAAAATAATTTTTCCTAGCAGAACAGATAACTCCAAAGATTTATAGCATGTTGGACATGAGTCATTTTTAAAATTGAACTAAACAATCTTATAACACTCTTCTGTCATATCACCTACAAAAATCCTAGCTTCTCAAATTCTTTCTATTCATTCATTCATTCCTCACCCAGGGACATTTTTCCATTGTTTTTATAGAGAGAGGAAGGGGGAGACAGACAAACAGACAGACAGACAGCAACATCAATGTGAGAGAGAAACACCGATTGGTTTTCTTCTTGTACATGCCCCGAATGGAGATCAAACCTCCAACCTCTGTTTGTGCCCTGACCAGGAATTGAACCCAAGACCTGTGTACAGGACACTGCTCCAACCAACTGAGCCACACCAGCCAAGGCTAAAATGTGCTTTAAACCCATCATAACATCTAACTGATTCCCTCAAAAATTAATAACAATAATAGTTAGGTAAGACCTTTGATAAATGCTGATATTATATTTACTTGAAAGCTTTTTTTTAACCCTTTTGAAAATTATATTTTAATATCAACCGTTCATACCTTGTTGTGGCCTTGAGGCTGGACTATAAGAAAGGTCAGCTTTGCTGGGAGAAGGACAAAATCTGGAGCTTGAAGCAGTACCAGAAAGAGACTAGCAACACACACAGGCCCTTTGCAGAGAGCGAGGAAAAACCGAAGGAAAACCAGTCAATTCAACCTAGGCCAGAGCCTAAGACTCCTTAGTGGGACACACAACCATGGCTGCTCTTATCTGTCTTTCAAGCTTATAGTCATCAACATGATTTGATTTCCAGACCTCTGACTGCTCCCTAAGATAAATTTTCCTGCTCAGTGGGCCTAGAATTATATCATTTGCAAGTTACTTCTTTGGCTTAAAATCATTTCCTTTGTTAAAGTGTAAATGTTTCTTCCCTCGCCAGTGCGACTCAGTTGACTGGAGGGGTGTCTTGTACTCTGAAAGGTCATGGGTTCAACTCCTGATCAGGGCACATACCTAGGTTGTTGGTTCAATCCCCAGTCAGAGCATGTGTGTGCAGCCGCTAATCAATGTTTCTCTCTTATTTCACTATTTCTCTCTCTCTTCCTCTCTCTCTAAAAATATGTATATGTATATAAATTTTTAAGTGTAAATGTTTCTGAAAGAGAGGGACACATAGAGCCTTATCAGCCATTTACACATTAGTATAAACAAATTCCTGGCCTTTTCTGAGATCAAAGTTTAGATGAGAGGAAGAGGACAAAGCAGCAAGCCCTGCATTCCCAGGGTGGCAAGTCTTAAAAAGGGATTCAGTGGTCTTCAACTCACCTCCAGGTCCTTGCGGGTGACAAAGCCCCTCTCCATGGCACCACAGGCGTGGAAGAAGCTCTGCAGTTCTGCAGCTGCCTGGGAGGACCAGGACTCTGGCTCTGGAGCCACAGGGGCATCCTGGCCATCAGTGGGCTCTCGCATCTGCCTCCGGCGGCTGGAACCCAATCTCCGGGCTTTTCGGGCCACTCTCTGTCCAGTCTCCATGCTGCTTCGGCCTGGGGACCAAGAATGGTGAGGGGGCAATGGGCTGCTGCACAGTCATCCCTGCCGAAATCTCCCCATGGCTTCCTGTTACCCCTGGAGAAAAGCCACCTTGGGTGATGCAGCCCTGTCTGATTGGACCCCTGCTGGCTTCTCTGATCTCATGGCCTCCAGCCCACCCTGCTCAGGGCCTTTGCCCTTTCTGTTCCCTCTGCCTGGAATGCTCTTCCCTGAGCTATCCACGTGCCCTCATCTTCAGATCTCACGCCAACTGACCAGCTTTCTCTGGATGTTATATGAAAGAGCCCCCTGCGCGATAGGTTCTGTTTAGGGCTTGGGGATGGTTACACAGGGTCGTCCAGAGTCCTTCTGTCTGAAGACCGGAAGCACCTTGTAAGCTGTCTCTCCTGCTGCTCCTCCAGCTCATTTCCTCACACCTCACCTTGTGGGAGGGGATCCCACCACGGGTACCTCCTCCGTCAATACCCTTTCACTACTCTTTCCACACACCCACCAAGGAATCCGGAGCTCCCCCATGGTGGGCTTGTGGGATGTGCCCATCCTTCCCTCCCCTGCCACACCCCTCGCAGTCCACAGCAGCCCCCTCAATCACTCCTCACTCCTAGGAGGCCAGATTCCTCCCACCCTTGCTCCCTTTGTCCCAACCTCCCTGACTCTCTAGCCCCTCACTTAGCTGAGACCTCTCTCTCCCTCAGATTAGAGTCAGCCTCCTCCAAGCCTTCCCTGCATCCATCCCCAATTTCAAGTAGGGTTCAACATCCCCTTGTCTGTGGTTCCATGATGCCCTGGGCTCCCTTATGGATGTCACTGTGCACCTTGGTTCACGTTTTTTCCAGCAGATCCTTGGCCCATAGTAGGTACTCAGGTAAGGGTTGTCCAATTCATGAACTAGGGTCCCTTCATCTCTCACTGATGGTCTAAGGTCAGTCAGTCAATTAACAAAGACTTTAATGGATAAGGCTTTGTCCCGGTGAGGCCCCAGGGCAGAAGAAAGGGAGGCTGGAGTTTGGAAGGGGCAGTCGGGGGCCTGCCCTGGAGGGACTAAGTCTGGGGTACACAGGACTGCACGGCCTGGGAGAGGCTTGACGTGAGCACAGCAAGGAAGCTTCCTATGGGCTGTGGGACTTGAGTCAAGCTCTAAAGGTGGCAGGTAGGGTTTAAAAGCAGTGAACGGCATGTGCAAAGGAACTGAAGCAACAGGAACAAGACACCCCCTCTGGGCTTTCTCTTTTGGGGCCAAAGGTAATAGACAGGCTGAGTGGCAGGGTCAGGGAGATCTGCCTCAGGGATGATGGGTTCATTCCAGGGGCCTAGAGCCACTGGTCCAGTCACGCCTGGGGCAAATCCCCTCACACAGAAAGCACAGGACTTTAAAGAAGCAATTCCTCACCCTGGGGGAGGCCCCCAAACTTGAAAGTGAAGTAGCCTCTGTCTCTTCCTGTCTGTTTTGTCCCTCCATCTGTTTCTCTCCATCTGTCCGTCTCTTTGCCTGTCACCCCTGGGGCCTTCCAAGCCTGTTCCCTGTGCGGTTTCCCGGTCACAGCTGTTGAGCTGCCGTGGTGTGCCGGAGCCCGCGCTCAGGGCGCTTTGGAGCCAGCCATGCTCATCTCTTCCTCACCCAGTGGCTTGGCCTGAGCCACTGTGGGAGTATTCACTCCACACAAATTGGCAAACGCAACACATCAGGATTTTTTCCTCCCACAGAGCAGTTACCAGCACACCCCTTCTGAGAAGACTCCCTTCTGCCAAATGCCTCCCAAGACCTAGCATGCACTTAAGTGACAAGCATTTACTGAGCACCAACTGAATGCGAGCAGAGTGGTGAGCAGACGTGCAGGTGGTTCCCTTAGGGAAACTAGGAATGGGCGCCCTTTCCCCCATGGCAATTTGCCCCCAACTCTTGACTCATAGATGTGGAAAAGAAGGCCCAAGAAGGAGGTGACTTCTAGTCACAGTGCTTTGGAGTCAGAATCTGCCTCTCCCTGTCCTGTCCCTTGCTGGTTGTGTGGCCTTGGGCAAGCAACATAGCTTCCCTGTACCTCAGGTTCCTCACTGGAACATGAAAGTAGTAGTATTTACCACATGGGGATGACAAAATTAAAGTTGAATTACCACCCCCCATTCTAGCTTTACTTCCTCTTAGCACTTGTCACCTTCGCAGAATAATCTTTCATTCAATTACTTTGTAAAACTTCCACCTCCTCTTACTGAAATATAAGCCTCACGTGAGTCGGGAGTTGACTCTTTTGTTCACTGCTCCAACCCAAATAAATGCCTAGAACAGTGCCTCACATACAGCCTGCACTCCGCCAACAGTGGCTGAATCTATAATCCATGAAAAACACTCACAGCTGTGCCCAGCATACAACGATGGCTGGTAAATGTGGCAGTGACAATGGTGATGACGACATGGCTGAGGGTGACATTCCATTTGAGCCTCATAAAAGCCAGGTACAGTGCAGATATGATTTATCCCTGCTTAACAGATGAGAAAACTGAGGGAGGGAGGCCCCAAGCCTCAGAAACATCAGTAGCAAAATGTGTTGGCCACGGGATGGATTTCCCCCAAGACCACTCCCTGGAGAGGCAACTTCTTGGTGGCAGAAGGCCTGTCTGTGGATCACAGATGCCCGCCAGAGCAGGCATGGGTGGGACAAGGGCTTCGTGGGGCAGGGCATGGGGGCAGGCTTTACTCAGGGTGGTGAGATTTGGAAAATTAGGTTTCACATGTTCTTCCGTTGACAGAGATAACACACATGAGGCAGCAAGATAAGATTCCCATTACAGACGCTTCTAGAACTGATATGTTGGGGGAAGAGTTTACTGTGATGTTGGTGCCACAATGCTGAGTCTGTCAGGCTCCATAAAGACATTAGAATCTTGAAATAAATTCCCTGTGGCCATATTCCAGGACATAGGACACTCCTAATGTCCGTTTTCGGGAGGTCCTAGGCTGCACCTCCACAGCCCATTTTCAGGAGACATTTTATAAAAAAGAAGCACCCAGTCCCCCTCTGCCACAGGGCCCAGCATCAGCCCTCTGAGCCAGTCAACCCTTCTTTTCCTGGAGGTCACTCATGGAGTTCCCTCATGACCAGGGGCACACATACATACACCCCAAAGCACAACTCCTTCTCACATTCCTCGCCTAAGAAATCATACAAAGTTTGAAGCCAGAGGAGAGCAAATGGATCCCACTCCCATGCATCCATAGGAATCAGCTCCCTGCTGCAGGATTCCTCGGGGGCGGGGGGCGGGCACCTTGGGTTTTCAGTCAGGAAATGGAGAGCTATATAAGGACAGGGTGAGGACAGTGGCAGAATCACAATACAGCGTCTGCAGGTGCCACAGGACTTCCCCAATCCCACCCTTCTCTCGCCAAAGTAGCGAGGGACTGGGTCAGCTCTCAACCCACTTACTTCAATAACTGCAAATAATAGCAAGAGTCACAAAACCTAAATTGTCCAAGTTGAGGGGTCTGAGGCCCCACCTTATGCCTTGGTTTGCTCACCTCTCTCCCCCTCATTAACCTGATAGAGAAACGGAGGCTCTGAGAAGCCAGATGACTTGCCCAAGATCACATGACCATTTAAGGGTAAATAACGTACCCAAGTCTCCTGCCCAGGTGCCCTCCATTAGATCATGCAGAGAGCCCCAAATTCAAAAGAAAAGAGAACTTGGCCTTTTGCACCCTTGTCATAGGAGCTGAATGGGGACCGCCGCTGCCTCCCCCATCCTCATCTCTCCAAAGAAAGCAAGCATTGCAACTCAGGGGAGGCTCCTACCTCTCAAAGACTCCAGCCGTGCATGCAGCCTGTTGCCTCCTGGACCTGCCCGTTCAGGAGCACACTGGCTCTGGAACTGTTAACAGTCTTGTCTCTTGCTTAATCATTCTTCCGTTCCCCAGCAAGCCAATCTCCTTTGTTAATTTCTGAGACTTCCTGCAGAAGTGGCCACTGGTTATCCTTTCACAATTTTGTCTGGTTTTCCCGAGGCCCCCTTGCCCCAGAATCCTGGAACTGGATTGCTGCAGCTGGGAGGGAAGTCCTTCTAAGCAGAGGCTCCGAAGGGTGAGGTGGACTGCCCAAGGTCACCTGGTCCTCAATGGCAAAGCCAGAAATTGGACCCTACTCTCTGGTTGCCATGGTGATGCCATGCCTTATCCCAGCCAGGGTGTTTATGGGCATAGTTATGGCTAACACTGGTTATAAAACTACACACCATACCTTACCTCAGGTGCTCACTCTCAGGCAGTGTCCTGAGACACCAGGGGAAGCTTACATCTAAATCATCTTTTAGAGAATAGTTTATCCTAACACCAAAATACATTGTAGAGCCACAACTATTAGAATAGCGTGGTACTGAAGCATGAATACAAATGGATGAATCAATGGGACAGAATAAAGAATAGACAGGAATAAACTCAAATATATATATATATATATATATATATATATATATATATATATATATATATAGGAATTTAGCATATAATAAAGGTAGCATTTCAAACCAGTGAGAAAGATGGTTTACTCAATAAACCATGGGAAGAATGGGTTAGGTGTTTGCAAGGAAAAAAAGTTGGAACCTTAATTCTAAAATAATTTCATATGGGTCAAAAATATAAATATTAAAAAATTATACAATTAAGTTGTTTGGTATTTGCTTCAAAATACTCGCGGGATGGAGGAATGGACGGGGCGTAGATAAAACAATACTGGCCCCGCCCTGCCCCGACCGCTGTGGAAGTCGGTGGGCGGCCGCGGCTCCTTCTATTCTTCCCTCTGGTTTTCTGTGTGTTTGAGCAGATGGCACACGGAATCGTGGGGTGATTTCTCAATAATCTTGGAGCGGGCCTATCCTTTCTGGGCATATCACAAAGCATTAGGAGCCATAAGAGAGAATATTGAGACATTTGACTATATAGAAATTTTTTCATAGAAAAAATAAAGCAAATGAATAACAAAAAAGTCACTGTTGACAAATCAAAAGGCAGACAAACT